ATAAACCACCCCAAACCCCCCCCCACTCCTATATACTTTCCCTATATACTCTTCCCTATATACTCTTCTATATTACTACTTCCTATCTACTCTTCCTATATACTCTTCCTATATACATTCCACTATACTTCTTCTATATACCTTCTATATACTCTTCCATATACTTCTTCCTATTACTCTTCCTTATATACTTTCCTATATACTCTTCCTATATACTCTTCCCTATATACTTTCCCTATATACTTTTTCCTATATACTCTTTTCCCTATATACTCTTCCTATATACTTTCCTATATACTCTTTCTATATACTCTTCCCTATAACTCTTCCTAAACTCTTCCTATATACCTTCCTATATACTCTTCTATATACTCTTCATATATACTCTTCCTATATACTCTTCCTATATATCTTCCTATTTACTCTTCATATATACTCTTCCTATATACTCTTCTTAATACTCTTTCCTATATACTCTTCCATATACTCTTCCTATATACTCTTCTTATTACTCTTTCTATATTCTCTCCTATATTCTACTCCTCATATACTACCTCCTATATACTCCCCCCTTATATACTCTTCTATATACCCTTCTATATACAATCTATATACTCCTTTTATACACTCTATCATATACACCCCTTCCTCTATACTCCCTCTATATACTCCCTTCCTATATACCCTCTTCTATATATCATCTATATACTCTCCTATAAACTCCCCTTTATATACTCCTTCTATATATCTTCCCCTATATACTCCTCTATATACTATTCCTATATACACTCCTTTACTCACTCCTTAATATCACATTATATACTCCTCTATATACACCTCTCTCTACTCCTCTATATACTACCCTACTATATAACTCTTCCTATATCTCTACACCTTATACTACTTCCTCTATATACTCTCTATATACTCTCCCTCTATCTACACCTCTCTATAACCCTCTATATACTCCTCCTATATACTCCTCTATATACTCCTCCCTATATACTCCTATCTCTATACACCTCTATAAACCATATATATACTTCCTATATACTCATTTATTTACACCTTATATACTCCTCTATATACTCTCTATATACACTATATTATACCTTCCTATATATACACCTCTATAAACTCTTCCTATAACTCTTCCTATATACTCTTATAACCTCTCTTCCTCTACTAAACTCCCCTAAAACTTATTCTTCTTTCTCTACTCTATTTTTTAAAATTTTCATCATCCTATTATTCTTTTTCTTCTTCTCTTACTCTTTTATCACATCCCCCCCACCCCCACATCATACCATCACTAACCCCCCCCCATCCCCCTCAATCCCCACCTCAAATATCCATACAATATAACACCTACAAACAACATTAACACATACAAACTTTCCCCCCTCCTAATATCATAACTCAACTCTACTAATAAATAAAAACCAACCACAACCAACCCAAAAACCAACCAAACACACACCCACCAAAACAAACACACACAACCTAAAACAAACAAAAAATTTATTTTTTATTCTAATCTATACCCTAACACTCCTCCCCCAAATCCCATTATTATTATATTTTCCCCTTCTTCCTTCATAAATCTATATCTCACTCTTTCTCAAACGATTTTTCAAATTTCTCCTTTTTAAATCTTAATCCCTTCCCTACTCTACCACTATTTCTATTATTCTCTTATATTATTATTTCCATTCACCCACTCAACTTATCCTTCCTTTCAAACCCCCATCTAACACCAAAAAGCACCTTTCACTATTCTAACACATCTCCAAAAACAATCAAAAACAAAAACACAATCACCCCACAACAATAACACAACAAACACAATCACACCCCCACCACACACACACTCCCCACCCCATATTACCCACACACCATACCAAAAAACTAACCAATAAAAAACCATTATCATTATTCCCCACAATTAAACACAACATACCTACAATCCCCTATTCTCTAAGTATATATATAATTATCCCATCTTTACTATATCTAAAAACCATATTAAAACATCACCTTCCCCACCCTCCAATCCAATCAATCAAATCTAAATCATAATAAAACAAAAAACATAATATAATAATCTCTCTCAACCCACCCACCCACATCACTCTACTCAACAACAATTAAAATCTACCCACCCCCAATTCACATTGCCTCACCTTATATCCCTCTCCCCCTCTCAATTCCCCTTATATATTCCCTATCATCCCAACAACACCCCAAACCCACAAAAACAACCTCCATATCACCACCGTTTTACATTCTTCTTTTAAATGCTTATATGAGTGACCCATAACATATTCTAACATTAATTAAATATACAATATTTATATTCTCACAAACAATCATACACATACAAATTTAAACAATAAAAAAAATCTAAATACAAACACTATAAAACCATCAACCATCTTAAAAACAACTTATTACTAATTCCATTCATCTTATCCTTATAGTTAACAACCCAAACTACCATCATATATATATATTACAATTTCCCTCCTTCCCAAATCCCCCATCCTCACCTTACATACCCAACTCTCTCCTTTCCTCCTGTTTACTCCACCTGCCTTGTTTCCGATATTTTTTTATCATATTATAAATTTTTACTCAATTCATCCCATCCTCTTCCAATCAACATTTAATCCATTCTTTATTCATTCTCACACACACACCACATCAAACTAAATAATAAAACCTTAAACTAAACACAACAAAAAACAAACCCCCCCTCCCATTTACAAATCCACCATCCCCATATATAATATTCTTCAACCAAAACTAACACTAAATAAAACACCAACATATACTCACCAATAATATTTCCTTCAAATTATTTAATTAAAATTTACCATTCCTTATAAAACAAATTTCTTTTATATATAATTAAATATTTCTTCTTTCTCTTTTCACAATCTCATAATTCATTTCATCTATTTCTACAGTTATGATATATCACTTGTCTCTGCTCCGGCTGAATTCTCTTTATTAGTATTTATTAATCTTTTAATGGATCTCTTCGCACTCCAATATTAACCTACTCCTACACTCCTCTACACACTGTCCTCTACACACTGTCCTCTCCTCACACTGTCCTCTACACACTGTCCTCTACACACTGTCCTCTACACACTGTCCTCTACACACTGTCCTCTACACACTGTCCTCTACACACTGTCCTCTACACACTGTCCTCTACACACTGTCCTCTACACACTGTCCTCTACACACTGTCCTCTACACACTGTCCTCTACACACTGTCCTCTACACACTGTCCTCTACACACTGTCCTCTACACACTGTCCTCTACACACTGTCCTCTACACACTGTCCTCTACACACTGTCCTCTACACACTGTCCTCTACACACTGTCCTCTACACACTGTCCTCTACACACTGTCCTCTACACACTGTCCTCTACACACTGTCCTCTACACACTGTCCTCTACACACTGTCCTCTACACACTGTCCTCTACACACTGTCCTCTACACACTGTCCTCTACACACTGTCCTCTACACACTGTCCTCTACACACTGTCCTCTACACACTGTCCTCTACACACTGTCCTCTACACACACTGTCCTCTACACACTGTCCTCTACACACTGTCCTCTACACACTGTCCTCTACACACTGTCCTCTACACACTGTCCTCTACACACTGTCCTCTACACACTGTCCTCTACACACTGTCCTCTACACACTGTCCTCTACACACTGTCCTCTACACACTGTCCTCTACACACTGTCCTCTACACACTGTCCTCTACACACTGTCCTCTACACACTGTCCTCTACACACTGTCCTCTACACACTGTCCTCTACACACTGTCCTCTACACACTGTCCTCTACACACTGTCCTCTACACACTGTCCTCTACACACTGTCCTCTACACACACTGTCCTCTACACACTGTCCTCTACACACTGTCCTTACACTGTCCTCTACACACTGTCCTCTACACACTGTCCTCTACACACTGTCCTCTACACACTGTCCTCTACACACTGTCCTCTACACACTGTCCTTTACACACTGTCCTCTACACACTGTCCTCTACTACACACTGTCCTCTACACACTGTCCTTTACACACTGTCCTCTACACACTGTCCTCTACACACTGTCCTCTACACACTGCTTTATGTGAAACAAACTATTGAAGACGCGAGACGCAGGGGTGGGCAATATGGCCTAAAATTCATATTGCGGTATAATTTGGTGTGTGAATTTCAATATAGGTCTAGCAGGTTCTTGCATAAAAGTCAATTTTGTAACTTATTTAACATTTCAATTTTAGAACTGGATAATGTTTGTTTATTTGAAACTTTTAGCATTTCTATAACATTTAGTGTGTGACCAAGCGAGGGCACCATAAAACAACCCATTTGTAAGTTCCATTGTTGTAATAAACAATAGTAATAATTAATCCTGTTAACACACACACACACTCACTCACTCACTCACTCTTTGAACACATTTATTTATTAGTTAAACAAGTAAAGGACACTGAATCTAATCAAGAATTAAACTGTCTGTTTGCCTCATTTCCGTGTGCCTTTGAACGCATCCCGGCTAATAAAAGTATTTTTTTCTCTGAGCTTTTTTCCGTCATTTCTCGTAATAAACGTTGATATATATTAGCACAAATCAATAATATAATCTGTATTTAACACACAACTTGTTGTTGCCCATATGGCAGTCACTTTGTCTGCAATTTCTAGCTAGACTAGAGCCAAACCAGGCTTGAATCAATAAACCAGAACTCTGCATCCTTCTATTAGTGGGAAATAAACGGGTTAATCCTCAAAAGGGAAAATATTCAACATACACATTTTTATAGTTTGTATTAAATGTAGTGAGTTGTACCACTGAGCCACGTTATTCAGAACTAAGGGTAAGGTTCAAAAGTTCTTCTCTGGCGGAAAATATTATACAACTAAAGTTGCAATTTAGTGTGTGTCTGTGTATGTGTGTAGGGGAGGAGGAGAGCCTGTGTCTGCAGCTCGGCCGCCTGCTGAAGGAGCTGCACTGCCCTCATGAGCAGCTCGTCTGCAGGATCCTGAAGGAGACGCACAGCAGCAAGGACCTGCTGCAGTCCATCTGTGAGTACAGGGCTAGAGGGATGAAGCTGAAAGGTACATAACTATCAGACCACAACAAATGAAACTATGTTATCAGATCTATCTTAACTAGTTTTTAGGATGTATTGTTGGCCTCTGTAAAAACTGATCAACAGATGTGAGCGACACAATGGAGAAAGAACAGACCTGCTCTCATTCATGAACATAAAGTCAGAAATTAACCTTTTTTACATTGCAGTTATTCTCAAAGTCTTCTCACAGCTTGTAGTTGGTATTTAAAAAAAAAATATTTTTCTTATAAATATCAACATCACTCCTCTTTTGTGTCATTGTTTGACCCTATTGAAGCGCTAACCCAGAAGAATGTTGTGTGTCTGTGCAGTGTTCTTGTGCTCGGAGCTTCAGGCCGCTCGGATCATCGACAGCCGAGCCTCTGCACACACACGCTCGGCCTCGGCTCAGGGTCCAGATCAGGTCTGTGAGGAGCTCCGCAGCGTCTGTCACAGCCTGCAGTTCACTGTGCCACAGGAAGATGGCCCCAATGAGCTGTTCCGAAACCTACACACCAAGGTACCACACTTTTTTCAAATTATCTTTATTTGAATTGGGACAGTGCATATTAATCAACATGTGTTTTTCAACATGTAAATGTGCCAATCTGTCCCATGGCAGGTTGATATCAAGACAGATAAAATATGCATACAACAGGCACAAACACACAGCAACATGCCATCACAAAGACATAACAAAACAGGGTAGCATGTAACGTGTGGTAAAATATGTAAAATAGGTACATTAGCTCAGATAAAATATCAGGACAATACACAAAACACCACAATTTTCCACACAGTGAGGTATCAGTGGGTGGGACTTTAGACAACCTGCAGAGACATAAGTCACTGTAGTGAGTTCTGTTGGGTACCTGTAAAGCAATCTTTAGTTAGTTTAGTTAGTATGCATTTACAGTAGCTGGTACTTGAAAGGGTTGGACACTTGTGGACATTTTGTGCTGTGTCATCTGTACAATTCCATGGAAATGGTTCAAAACTATCTCTTAAGTATTTTATATATTTCTTACATAAACTTTCATCTCCTGACCAAAATGAACGTGACAGAATTATTTGAATCAGAATGTAGTTCCCCATTTCTACCACTAGATGGGATTTCTCATGCTGAAACATGAGATGCTATAAAGCAAGGCTGAAGTGGACGCCTGCAGGTTCTGTGTGTGTGTGCATTTTTGGCGGACACATTGGCTCAGTGTGTGCCTGTGTGTCTGCACGCAGGTGGAGTCTGTGCTGAGTTCACTCCCCAGAGGCAGCTGTGGCCCCCCGGTGCTGAAGAGCAGCCTGAGCTCAGAGCAGTGGGTGAGTCTGGATGAGCGAGGGGTCTCTGTACCCTCAGAGCAGGTCTCACTGTGTCCCGTCTACAGGACAGAGTGTCTGAGGTGAACCAGGCGCTGTCCTCAGAGTACGAGTGCAGGCGGAGGATGCTCATCAAGAGGCTGGACGTCACCATCCAGTCGTTTGGCTGGTCCGACAGAGCCAAGGTACCACTGCACTGACATCAGGGTCAAACAGACTCAGTCTGTGTTTTTTATTTCAAATAAATGTACTTTTTGCTTGTGATGTAAGTCAACCTTGAATGTTTAGAAAGGCACCTAAGAAATAAATGTGTGATTATTAATGATCAGACCATCAGGATTTAACAATACATTTGATTGGACAGAAAACGAACTGTATCGACAGAAGGATTATCGAGGCCATGTATTGTAACGATCCATCAGTGACAGCGTAAAAGATGATTTCAAGACCTTGGAGTGGCTGAGCCGGTTTCCAGACCCCACCCAATATAAAAATATCACAGCTCTATATAAATAATATGTATGGAAGAATGGGCCAAAATACCTTACCTAGTGGCCACGAAACGTCTGACCTCATTGTCAACAAAGTTTGCATATAAGTATTAGATCGAACTTATGTTATTGGCCAAATAATTATACAAATGTATATTTTTTATGAATAAATTCAGGTCGACCGACACATAGAACTGTTGTAGAAGCATTATTAGATTGTGTCTGTCGTAGATGATGGTGGACCACATGGCGCGTGTGTACCAGCCCCTCCGTCACTCCCTGAGGGCCCGTTCCTCTGTGGACGTGGCGTCTCTGTTGGCAGCCAGAGAAGACCTGTGTCACATGGAGAAGACGTGCAGCGGCAGCAGCCGACAGAACACCTCCTGTGCCGTCAACAAGGTTTGTTTCTGATGTGGCCATTGTCCCACTCTGCACCATGCTTCATCACGGCTCTGTGTCCTCTGTTTCCAGGTTCTAATGGGAAGGGTCCCGGACAGAGGAGGACGGCCCTCTGAGATCCAGGCCCCGCCCCCTGAAATGCCCCCCTGGCAGAAGAGACAGGATGGGGGAGGCTGGGGGGGTCGAGGAGGGAGAGGCGGAGGATGGGGAGGCCAAGGAGGACGAGGGGGAAGAGGAGGAGGAGGCTGGAACCACGGACACGGAGGGCGTGGGGGACATGGAGGGAAGAGAGGACGCTACCAGTATTAGCTCGGACATGGACTTGAAGGACACTGGTCAGACAGCGAGGAGTGGAACCTCATTGACCAAAACTAGTACTTTATACTTTTCAGAAACCAGTCTTCCTTTTCCCCTTCCTGTAATTTCATATGATTTTGAATATTGGTGATGAGCAGGATGTAACCGTCTGCAAATTCTTACTTTATCAGTTTTAAGGACCTCTCTGGAGGCAGGGCAGATGTATGCACGTAAACAAAGCATTCATTGACCCACCATAGTGATTAGAAAATACCCTACATTTTTTTTCAAGCTGAATTTTTATGATTTTTTACAACTTGACCAGCTCTGGGTCATTTAGACCATAATTTAGGGTGTTTTTCTACTTTTAATCATCTGATGGGTCGTTTTGACCAGAGGGGAGCATAATTGTTAGGAGTTGAAGTCCTGCTCGCTGTACCAGACCGCAGGGGCACTTTCTCTGCGACCTGAGTTGAATTTGGACTCATTTGCATATCCGTACACGCACATTTTCATTAGCCAGTTTTCCAAATCTCTTTGGTCCTGTGGAAGACTGGCCAAAACGTGGAGAAATGTGTTTTATCAGATACCCGGGTATGTGTGGGACTGGGTTGAAGACTTTGATAGGAAACCACAACTGGAGCTGCATGTTCAACTAGAAGACAGTATTTTTAGTGTGGAGGAAATAAATCATGTAGTTTAAGAGTTTTCCTTTAGTGTAGCTGTGAATCTGGTGTACTTATGGACTGAATTTATTAAACATAACACAATCTTAATTAAATATTTATTCTTGGCCACACGTTTGTTCAATAGTTACAATTTGTACATGTATACAATCATTAAAGCCACAGGAGCCTTTACATAATGGACAGCAAACTGTACAAACTCTTCAGTCTCTAAGTGAAGACCTTCGTAAAAACAAAGCACTAAGAGCACACCGTGGGAACCGCAACACTGCACTTTGGTAAACGGCACATTCCAAATTCAATAGAAAACAAGGCACTTTGTATTCTCTGTTCAAAAACATTAAAACTATACAAGCTCATCAACTCCTTCCTTGTCAGGTTTCAGACACTTAAAACCATGTAGTGCTTAACCTCCTCCTCACACTGGAACTCACAGCAGTCGTCACGTCACACTTACTCCACCTCTTAAAGCACCATGAAAACACACGTTCTGCTGCCGTTCTGTAACACTGGAGGTGGGTCCATAATAACACTGCAGCGCTTTGGTGAAGCTTGCCATCTGTCGCCACCTACGACCTCCTCGCTCTGACCAGACGCAACATTGTCGGATGTTTGCTACAACTACATGGAAACGCCGCCTCGACAGTAACTGATTTATGTCTTTCTCACGCAGCTACGATAAACTACTTTATATGCCGCTGAGTAGAATGTGGCGATAACCTAATAAATAAAACCTATACAGAATAAATACTGTGCCCTAAAACATACTGTGTCAGCTGTTATTGAAGGAGAAGTCGATGTTTGGCACTAGTCCAGTTAAAAAGACATGGAGGAGAGTGATGTAGCCAAATGCACGTCTGTCTGATTCTCGCAACTCAACCCCACGTTTCCTCACATCAACATTCTCTCTGGACCCACCTCTACAGACGGGATAATCACTTCAACATTTAAAAAGGTTGCATTTGTCACTATTCTTCCTTCATGAGAGAGTGCTGCTGTCGGGGGCCCGTCTGGTCAGTGACGCCCGAAGCAGTACCGTCTTGGCGGGCTGTGGTCTGGGCTTCTCTCACACAGAGTTTGTCAGCGTCTCAGATGAGGCGAGCGTTCCTCAGGTGCTGGATGAGCACCTTGTACACAAAGTTGTACTGAGACACAGTCTGCACCATGAGCATCCTCTGCTTCCGGAGCTCCTGCAGCACAGCGTGCACCTGCACAGCCTGCACAACGGAACACAGACACATGGTTACAGTCCACCATCAACACCTTCTGGTTCTACATCACAGAAGGTACAAGTGCCTGTTCTTTCTTTTAGCTTATTAAACTTATATAACTTAACTTTGTGACATGACTGGAACATTTTGCAATCGTGAGAGTGTGGAGTGGAAGCATGACCTGGTATCACCAAATAATTACCAGTCCAGGATCATGTACAAGTTGATCCTTGACTCTTAACCCGAACCACACTAAACCCAAGCCCCAACCAGATTCCAACGAATTGACATGTGGAGTATTGTGAGAAATTTGTTTATTTTTTGTGTGAATAACAAGTGATGTTATTCACACAAAAAATAAAGTATTTGTCAAGGCCAAATGGTGCAGTTGTTAAATCTGTCCACCAGATGTCAGTGTTGCAAGGAAATACCCATCACAAGCTTTCTAATGCTCCATCACCATGGTCAGATGAAGGTCAGCACTAGGGATGTAAAAAACTATGAATTTTCATGACCGACCACCGAGCCTCATTAACCGGTTGAAACCGGTTAACCGCGTAGTTTAAAATATTCCACGTTCTTTGAAATAACAGCCATTTCGAGCCGCGTACTTTTTCATAAGTGCAGATATGCGGTCTGCTGGGTCAGAGCCGAGACAGCGGCGCCAAAACCCGCAACAACTTCGGCACCTTTGCGCACAGAGAACTGCTTTTTTAATCTTCCCATTCTTCTGTGCTGCGGGTTAATACTTTTTAGCAGCAAACGACGGCGCGTTCACATGGTCAGAGCAGCGAGTGATACGTCTCGCAGGTCTGCGCTAAAGTTTAAAAGGGATGTGTGTGGAGCTGATGCCAAGGACCATCAGCACAAACATGTTTCATGTGGTTTGACTGGAGCCGTGTATTTACGAGGATCCTTAGGGCTGTGTGACACAGAGGAGCGCGACAGACCGGTGTGTGTGTGTCAGTGTACATGTATGTACGTATGTGTGTGTGTGTGTAAATGTAAGCTCCAATGTAGTTCTGACCCACACCAGTGTGCAACTTTGACGGAGTAGTAACAGAGGGGAGAGATGATGCGTGTAGATGTTACGTATCAATGGAGGGGGGGAAGTGTGTGTGTGTGTGTGTGTGTGTGTGCGCGCGCCTGCACGTGTGTGTGTGTGCATATGTGGCGCGTGCGGCATCAAAGTCGGCCCAGAGTTTACTGTTACATTGGCGCACACAGCTAGAGACAGACCCACTCGTCACATTGTGCAAATAGGGTTTAAAATAGCGTTATTAAGAGACCTCCCCTCTTTCTTTTTTTTAACCGACAGCTTTGACCGGTTAACGCTGTGACGGTCAACCACCGGTTAAACGGTCACCGATTTACATCCCTAGTCAGCACCAACTGTCTCCTCAGACATTTCACTAAAAGTTCATCTCGTAGAATGATATTTTATTGGAGGACGCTCTATGGAAAAGAATTATTGCGTCTGAAATAAAAATAATAATGAATGTCTATAGTGTGTACCTAGTGCCGTTGTAAATAGTAGTAATTTTAAAAAAGTTAAATAGATTTTTACATATGCATGCCTTATTCTATTTTTACTTTTATAACTTGTGTGACTTCCTGTTGCTCACAATGGCCATAAAAATAAAAAATAATTCTGACCGACAGCATGCATGTGTTTATGAATATCGTCAGCAGTAGACGTCTTTATGAGAAAATAATGAGACCATAGCTGACAAAAAAGATGTGGAACTTTGTGACAGTTTGTATTTCTTGGGTAAATCTGGGTATTTCTTGACATTATCTTTAAACTAAGACTAGAGATGGACAGTTACCAAGGTTACCAGGGAGGATCGGTCAGCTGCCTCCACCTCAAACTTTGGAATGCTGTGACATCACATGATCGCACTCTCCATCCAACGTGTCTGAGGGTCATGTCGGTCAGAGCAGAAGCAGAGGGAAAGGAGACGTACCTGGTTGTGTTCCAAACATGCGATCATGACCTCTGACAGGATGACCACCCCGGTGCGGCCCACCCCCGCGCTGCAGTGCACCAGCACCGGGCTGCTGCTCTTAGGGTCACTGATACTGTTGGTGTGTCTCCTCACCGACTGGATCTCCTCCAGGTACGCTGTAACAACACACGAGACCATGTGCAGACCATGAGCAGACCATGAGCAGACCATGAGCAGACCATGAGCAGACCATGAGCAGACCATGAGCAGACCATGAGCAGACCATGAGCAGACCATGAGCAGACCATGAGCAGACCATGAGCAGACCATGTGAGGAGTTATTGTCTCTTCTGTAGCATGAGGCTGTTCTGTTGTCCGTACAAACAGAACCCAAAACTATATGTTGTTTTAATTCAAAGTGACGAAAACAATTACACATTTATAGGCAGGTTTTTTCATCATAAAATATTATAATTGTCATATAAGAAATAAATAAAATGATTATGAACTATTCTTTGATGTCAGTGTTATTGTGTTTGGAGCCATGGATAATAGATATTAAAGACGTTTGTGTTGGAGCTGAAGTATTAACACTCGCTCACCTGCTGCTGTTAGGACTACTGTGTATCTGCTCATATTCTCTGCGGCTAAAGAACAATATAAACAAATGTGAAATCTCATGATGCTGCTGAATACTACTGAGTTTATGATCTTATAACAACAGACTGATGAGGACTAGTATGAACGTGCACTGACTGAGGAAGCCTTTGAAGTCCTCTGGGCAGCCGTGGTCAGGCCAGTCGGTGTACTGCAGGTGCCACACGGTGCGCTCCTGTCCCGTCAGCAGGTGTTTGATCTTGAGGCCAGTGGTGGCGTAGCAGCCCGACTCCGTCCTGAAGCGAGTGGTGATCTTGAAGCGGCCGTACGTCACGTTGGTGTGCCGCGTGCCCAGTTTGGGCCAGTAGCGGAAGCTCTTCTCTCGCCCGCTCTCCTGGAAACACGCACACACACACACACATATACATTTATATATAACAATCATGCACAAAGATTAGAGCATAAATTTGAGTTTCTAGAAGAATAATTGTCTCAAATATATTTTCCAAAATGTTCACATGTCAAAGATCTGAAGAAAAGATTAATTTCCCTTGTGTGGGTGAGAGTCCATACCTCCTCTGCGGTCACCATGGCGATGATGGACACGCCCTGCTCCCACACCATCTGCCAGAAGTCTGGACAGGTGTGCTGCAGAGGGCCCTGGGACGCTATGTAGCTCCACTCCTGCCCACTCACAGCCATCTGGAACACACAGAGGAGGAGAGAGAGGGAGGAGGAGGAGGAGGAGGAGGACAGTGAGAGACAAGGAGGTCACAGAGAGAGAGAGAGGAGGTCAATATTATACCTATGACCATTATCTGAAAAATAATTATAACTAATTTTGGTCCAAATTATCATAAATTGAACATATAGTTCTGAAATATACCAAGTGGCTCTATTTGGGGAGCTCTGATCTGTGAGAACTGTATGTATAAGAGTGTATGTGTGTGTGTGTGCGTGTGCGTTCTCACCCGGACGTGCGAGGCGTTGATGTAGCCCGTGTTGTTCTCCTTGGTGGGCACCAGCTCCACGCGGTTGTGGTTGTACGGCAGCACGTCCTGGAAGCGGTTCCTCTCCTCGTTCTCGGGCTGCCGAGCGATGCAGCACTCAGCGGAGGGCCAGCGCTTGGGGATGGCCTCATACTCGACCTGAACCTGGCCCTGCTCCACGTGCAGCTCCAGCTCTCGCGACTGATCACACACACACAGACACACACTTATTTAGACACCACTTTATACGGAGACAACAACCAGTATCAAGGTACACAGTGGTATCCAAATGCTACAGTATCAGCACCACTGGGACAGACAGACAGAACCTAGAGCTGGATCTGACCACAACCAAAACAATAAGCAAGATACAACAGTCTGGGGTCGTTTTTATACCCTGCCAAGGGGTATTGTTGTGTTGCGTGTGATCAAAGAGTTTTATATTGTTTAGTCGCCCTTTGTTTTTCCAAAGCATGTTTAATATGTTTAATATATTTAATGCAGAATACATTTGAGCCCTAGTGGACAGAGCAGACACAGCATCATCTGTGTACCACAGTCTGTGGGATAAAAACAATATCGTCAGATTAAAGCCACAATAGAATCCTGATTCTGTACCACATACAGAACACCAACATTCCAAACTATGCAACATGTGGACGGCAGAGGACGCCGACAGGTGGAAATATGACTGCAGTAAATGTATCGACGTGAAAATCATTGTTATATAAAAACAAAACAATGATTATTGTTATGTTATAATATAATATATTTATAGCGTATTTCATTGAGGAAATTGAACTATATTTCCCCCTTAGTTTATATTTAACAATTTCTTGATCACTTCCTGCTCAGATTTGCATTGGTTTGGCCGCGTTCCATCTATGTGTCACACGCAAACTTATTATTGGGGCGTTTACTTCAAAATGACTCCTGTTTAGTCAGGACCATAGACTGTATATATTAACGGACAGAGTCACGCCTATCTCCGCCGTTCTAACTAATGGGCCAAAAAATGTGCTCTACTGGATCTATCCAAAATGGCAGCGAGTGGTCCCGCCCACAAGAAAAATGTGAAAAAACGCATCTGCGCATGCGTCAGCCGCGCAGCTCCATTCATTTGAACGAGAGACTTAAAAAATTCACTGCAAGTAAACTAGAGTGGACCAAAGAAATCCACCCCCTCAGCATTGACACACATGTGGAACGGAGCTTTGGGCAAAGAGCCAACTTTTGGTCCATCCTGTAAAGACGTTTTCGAGAGGTCTGCCAATGCTATATGTTAGCATTGGCTAATTCTACTTCTGGGTCCACCCCCATCGGCCCGGGGTGGTATTGCAAGCATGTCAGCGCACCTCATTTTGGCCACTTTTGAGCTGGGACCCTCACCCACTGGTCAGGACCTGTGTACACCTGATATGGACCAGCCGACTCTACACAGTGTGGAGACACGAGGGCCAATCAAAACAACCGGAGGAAACCGCTCGGCCTCATGTGTGTTATCTGTAGTAACAGAGTTGTCTCCTGCAATATTATTCCTCTTTTTTCAGTTTTCACACGTAATTATCTGAGTAACAGCAGCAGAGATCCATGTGTGCTCAGTGAAATGCTCTTCTGTGAGCGGTGGAATCAAGTCAAACTAAGTGAAGTAATTAAAGTAAGTAAATGTCATGCAAACTATTCATTCCATTGATCTGCATCCTTCAGGTCTGTCTTCATAATTACTATCATCATAATCTGTAATCACTATCATCATCATCATCCTCCTCCTCCTCCTCCTCATCACAAGGACGAAATGAAACCATATGAAGTCTACCACAGTTCTCTGTAAGAACCGGTTACATCCGGGTCTCCAAGCAGAAGTACAAGGACCGAGAGGAACTGTGATTCATATCAGATGAAAAAAACAAATGGATTTGAAATAAATAAAGGAAATAGTTTGGAGTAAATGTTACTCCATACTACATCATTTTAAACTAAGGAATGTTCACGTAATCAGAGCGAGAATGACAGGAAAGAGCAGAGAATGGAAAAAGTGTTCAACAAATCTAACACTTTATGGCAGCATTGTTGCTCACCACATAAGCAAGAACAATGAAGTCATAATAAAGTAATACAAAATAGGAGAAAATCACAAAAATATATAATAAATGTTTTGTAAATGATTAAGAAAAGGGAAGGCCACATGTGCTCTTCTTCATTTGTGTGACGGGACCACAGTGTTATGAAATCTAATCGTAACATGAATTAGAAACAAATACTTACCTACTACAGTTATAATAATACTAATTACTAATAGAAATAATAAGAATGATGAAAACGTGCAACATAGCAATCTTCAGCTGCATTTCTCAAAGCAATATAAGAAATACATATTTAGTACTTCTATGGAACCAGTGGATACAGCGGCTAAAGATCCCCCACGTGTCATTCTGTCGTGTGAGTGTTGGAGCTTGTTTTAATAATAATATTGTCTTGATACAAGTTTTAGTATTAACCAAACATCTGAATTTCACAGTTTTTGACATTTTACACATGAGCATAAACCAATCCTTAGACGGTTCTTTCGATCAGTCAAGTAGTGAAGCTCAGGTCTGGTCTACAGAAGCCTGTACAGCCTGCTTTAAGTCGGAAACAAACTCGCCTCAAGATGAAATGGCTTCACTCAAGCATCAATAACTTGTCTGTACTGTACTGCACTGTAAGCTACACCGCAGTGAGAGCACTGCTGCCGAACCGACTTCCCGTGTGCGCCTTACCCTCTGGTCGTTAGAGGCGCGCTCCAGCTCATCCTTGGCCTCCGGGTGCAGGGGGGTCTTGGGGAGCCCGTTGTGGACTCTGTGTGAAGGGCCTCTCCTTTGCTCCAGCTTGACTCCCCTCTTCATGCCCTGCGACCAGCACACACAGACGCACACACAGACGCACACACACAGGCAGAGCAGGTGTGAGTGCGCAGGGGAAGGACACAGCAGAATGTGGAGCGACCTGTTGGTTCACTGTGTGTCATGTGTCAGCTGTCAGGGCCCTACACAACAGCTACTGTCACAACGAAGTATAAGGCTCACCCATTTTTTTTGTCAGATGCTTTGAGATTAAAGTCAGAATATTTTGCCTTTAAAGTTGAAAATTACGAGATTAATCTAGAAATATCATAAGAATAATCTCTTAGAAATATGACTTTATTCTGGTAATTTGTGACTTTTTTCTAATAGTACTGCAAGAATATCTTTTCACATTAAAGGCATAGTCAAAATAAAGATGACATCACACACGCACAAAGCGTTCACAGTTCATAGAACCTCTCAGTGGATTTACTCTTTTCATTTACTCCGAAACTATTGGTTTTTAACGTTATACAAATGATTTAATCAGTTTTGGAACAGTGTCCCAGTCGCAGGTGAAGGAGCTACGTGGGGAACATCGTTCTCTGAGGCACGAGAGCAGGTACTCGAACATCACAGTTAAATTGGTTCAGTTTAACAGTATAAGGAAGCGCGAAAACTATGAGGCATCTCACTGTTTAGTTAGCTGCTATGTAAAATTTTTGGGAACATTCTCGGAATATTTCGAGTTTATTCTCATAATATTTCAAATTTAATCTCATCATTTTACTCTATTCATCTCATAATATTGCAACATTGACTTTACTATCATACCATTTCAACTTTAAATTCAAAATATTATGACTTTATTCTCATAGCGTCTGGCAAAGAGGGGAGTCCTTTGCCTGAGAATGGGTTTTGATATTCCGCTAGAGGCTGCCATCAGGTGAACATCTGGGAAGGGTCTGGAGGCCGCATGTGGCTCCCAGGCCACAGTTTGCTCAGGTCTGATCGAGATGATGCCTTTGTATCAGCACCCCTGTTTGCTTTCCCCACCAAACAAGTACATTCTCAACTAAAGAACTTTGAAACTAAAATTATGTAGATCAAAATTTTGCATAAAAATGTACAAATTCATTTTACAAGATATGTGTTCTGTTCGCCCCGTGCCGTGGGGAAAATATCATCATTGCCCAGCCCAGAAATATGCCTGCAGGTTTGTGCTTTAGCTCACCATTTACTTCAACTTTTAGATTGCGCCGCTGCTGGCTTCAAGGAATGCTACTGAACAAAATGTTCACAACATACTAGCTTCACGGTCCACCACTGAACAAGCTGCTGCGTAAAAGTTGTATCTCACTTCATTGCCCCAGAAGTGCTTCATGATATTGACAATCTCTGGAAAGTCAATTCAAATGATTACATTAAACTAACACTTCTTATCCTTCTGAATGCACCTTTCACGAGACTGTGTAGTTTAAGGTTTGGTTATATATATATATATAAAATCGTAGTCACTGTTCACATTCCAGTTTATACTACTCCCTGTATGGCTGTCACCTGACAAAGGGGATGGAGAATCACCTATGACCACTGCAGTCCTCCAGGGGGCACTACAGCTCCACTACACTAGTCACTAATAACTGATTGTGATTCTGACAGCTGGTAAATCATGTACTTTTAGATATTGAATAATGGTGACTGACAGGTGGACACAGATGTGTATGACTTAAATGTAAATATCTGAAGCTCATGTTGAGCATGTTTGTGGGACTCACCGCGGGGGGCAGTCCCTCCACAGCCCTCTTCACTTGGGGCCCTTCAGACTGCCTCTTCTTCAGCTTGTTCTGAGGAGCAGTGGGCTCTGGGGGCATGGTCCAGGCCTCTCTCTCTGGGATGTAAGCCAGAGCTCCCCCCAGCACAGAGCCTGTGGGGTAGGCTGGAGGGGGCTCTGTGGGTGTGTGTGGAGGCTGGGCGGGGCCAGTGTCCTGGGTCAGAGGGGTGTGTGGGCTGCGCTCCTCCTCCTCCTCCTCTCCGCTGCTGTGCACCAGCATAGTGGCGTCTGAGGGGGACTTCTTGTGGCTGTAGTGTGCCTCCTCCTTCAGCTCCTTCAGCTGCTCAGTGTGAGAGTGTTCCAGCAGCACGTTGAGCTGGGAGCTGTGAGAGCGCGCCTCGTGCACAGACTGGGAGAGGGACTCCACAGCAGAGCTGGACATGGTCCTCTCCTTAAGCTTCATGGCCTCCAGGCCATGGGCCAGGCCTGCGATCTCGATAGAGTTCCTCTTGTGGCTGTGGTAGGGCGCTCGGAGCAAGGGGCCACTGTACAGCGGCTCAGACACCTCCTGTAGGGAGTGCGCCACGGGCAAACTGTCCTCCTGGAAGGTTTGCACGCTGTGGTGCACTCTGCGCGTGATCAGGTCCGGGTTACTGCTGCTCACGTAGAGGTGTCGGGACAGGTCTGGGGTGCTGTTGGCGGGACGTGGGTGACTGTATGGATATGGAGGAGGAGGTCTGTACACCTGAGTCCTCATGATGTTAGGAGCAGGGTACTCCTGCACTTGCTGAAACTGCACGTTCGTGAGCTCGGGCACACTGACCGCCCCCACCACAGGGCGCCTCTCTGTGGGGTGGGGGTAGTGGGTGGGCAAAGGGTAGTGGTGGATCTCAGGCTGGCTGTAGACCAGCGGGTCCGGTCGGCTGTAGGCGTAAGAGTTGGCAATGTTGAGGTTCCTCATGGAGTGGCTTTGGCGATGCTGCTGGGACAGCATCATGCCGCCCAGCGCCTGGCTCTTCTGCCGCATGACGCTCTCGTAATCGGGCGTAGCACGGTACGACGGCGGGATGAGCGCGCTGTGGCGGTGCGTGGGCAGGTAGTCCGGCCGTGTGATGTCACTTCCTGTGATGGAGGGGTTGGAGGACATGGGGGAGGGCTGGATGTAGTGCTGAGGGTTGGTCAGAGAGCTGGTGCTGTGGGCGCTGTACACACTGCCGTTACGCAGACGACCCCCGTACTCCACAGCTGGAAAGTCCAGACTCGTCTGAGAGTGGTAGTAGTAACCGTTCTGACTGTTCAGGTACAAGTTATCTGGCAACAAACAACACATCATTAACACAGCATCAACAGCACTAAGTCAGTACAGCAGGAGGGGGTCACAGAATTGTTAAATTTGCCAACAGTAGATAAGACAACAGTGGATAAGAAAATCCAATAATTAAAACAGTAATTAGTCCATAACAGCAGAACAACCTCTAAAACCCAGACTGCAATACAGGTTATCTAGAAATATTCTATGAAGGTCTTCCTAATGTTTTGCTTTTCTATCTAATACATTGAGATCTGTATGAATACTTTCAGTGTGTACAGGTGCATTGTGAAGGAAGTAAAGAACAAGTGTAGATGGAAAAGAAACCCATCAACCAGGATATCTAAGTACCTTTGATATGTTGTTCTGGACAATATGGTTAAATACTATTTTAAGTAATACAATATTTTATTTATTTGATATAATGTAAAAAGTCAATTTTGTCTTCTTATGTTTAAGACTTAGAAGGTTCTTTTAATAATACAAAAAATGTAAAAGAAGCTAGTCCTGCTTAATTACCAAGTTAACAAGTTTGAAGGTGGAACTTTACCGCAGTACTTGCTTCTTTACATTTTTGTCTTATTTAAAGAACCTTCTAAGCAGGGTTATAATTAGTTGATTCCAAAACACTTTATTTCTGCCTGGACTCTGGGTTGTGTTGTAAAAACACAGGTTTGAGTCGGAGGTAGGAACTCGTTCTTTACCCTGTGAGGAGGTGTAGGGCTCTGTGAAGTGTCCGTTGTAGTGCATCTGGGGGGGCAGCATGTAGGCCTGGGGCTTTGGCTGCGAACACACAACATGTGATTTTCAGCTGCCTCAGATCCCACACGGACCATGAAAATGTGACCTTACCAGAGACAGTCTGGTGGAAGATCTCCTTCTCACCAGGTTCACGACAGTGGGCTGCGTTTGGCTGCAGAAAACACACAACAAGGAGAGCAAACATTTCATTGCTGTCAAAACAAACAAAGACATGTAGAAAATAAGCCATGTATACTTTTCCTTAAGATGCAAAAGATTGGCACAAGGTTAAATACTGGTTTCTAAAATCTGAGCAGAGGTTGAGTACCCTTGTCACAGTTGCAAGTTACTTAAAATAATTGGCGTTTCTGTATTTCTTCAAAAAACTACTTCTACATTATTATTATTTCACAGAGTAACCATAAAATTACTATTAAAAAAGTATAAACACCTCTTATAGTTATAGAGCAGACATAAGATCAATCTCTCCATTAACAATACTTTATTCAATAAAGGGGGTGGCAGTCAGAGCTGCACACAGTACACAGAGGACCAGCCCCTCACAGATCCTCCTGCAGGTGGTGAGTCCACAGAGCCTTGATCTTTCAGCGGGGGCTTCAGACAAAGTGGGGTTAAGTGTCTTGCCCAAGGACACAACAACAGCAGTCATCAGTGGGAGTCATGAAGTAGGTTTTACGGTGGGCTCGAATCATCGACCTTCAGGCTCAAAGGCCAATGCTGTCGTCATTTATTATATTGTCTTTGTAAATCCAGATATGAGCCATAAGGCAGGACCAATCAGATCTCTCCCTTATACCTTAGCAACCAACTCATTTAGCAACACATCTAACCCTTGACGGCGCAAAGCTACCAACTCCTCAGAAGAAATGCTAATATAAGGAAACTGGCTCCAACTAGCTTTAGTTCAAATCGGCTTCTTCCACAAGTCAGCGCTCGGTCAGTCCACTCCTAATACACGGTCTATGTATTGCACTTATTATTGCATATTTACTTGATATTATTAGCAGCCCGAGTACGTCCCTGTAGTGAGAGGAGGCTCCGCACTTACTGCGTGCTGTTGTTGATTTTGTAGAACTTGAGGCGAGCCAGACACATACGGCACACGTACTTGGACGTCTCCATGTCTTCCTGCGGAAAGAGGAGCGACAAAGTAGAACTTAACCAGCCTCTTCTAAAAAAACGTTCTATATATCAAAGAAACCAATGAAAAATAATATCTGTGTTTTGGTCAGAAAATACATGACATTACAGACATTCATAAAAATAAAAATAAACAAAATTTTTGGTCAATTAAATCAACACACATTTCAGATCGCAGTGAATTCTGTTGACTCAAAAGAAGGTTGAGACTATTTGTGAATATCACGTTGTGCAAAGCGCTATAGGGTTATGTACCTGTGTATGTGTTCTTTTAACCATGTTTAAATCTAGTTTAAATCTATTCCAGTAATCACAATCTGAATGTTAGTCATAGGGATGTAAATCGGTAACCGTTTAACCGGTGGTTGACCGTCACATCATTAACCGGTCAAAGTTGTCGGTTAAAAAAAAGAAAAAGGGGAGAGGGTAGGTCACGCCTATCTCCGCCGTTCAGACAAATGGACCAAAAACTCTACTGGAGCTATCCAAAATGGCCGCGAGTGGTCCCGCCCACAAGAAAATTGTGAAAAAAAGCATCTGCGCATGCGTCAGCCGCGCAGCTCCATTTATTTGAACGAGAGACTTCAAAGATTCACAGCGAGTAAACTATAAAATTCACCCCCCTCAGCATTGACACACATGTGGAACGGAGCTTTGGGCCAAGAGCCAGCTTTTGGTCCATCCTGTAAAGATGTTTTCGAGAGGTCTGCCAACGCTATATGTTAGCATTGGCTAATTCTTCTTCTGGGTCCACCCCCATCGGCCCGGGGTGGTATTGCAGCATGTCAGCGCACGTCATTTTGGCCACTTTTGAGGCGTGACCCGCCCCCACTGATATGCACGCATACACGCGCACACACACACACACACTCCCCCCCTCCATTGATACGTAACATCCACACGCATCATCTCTCCCCTCTGTTACCGCCAAAGTTGCACACTGGTGCAGGTCAGAACTACATTGGAGCTTACATTTACACACACACACCGGTCTGTCGCGCTCCTCTGTGTCACGCAGTCCAAAGGATCCTCGCAAATACACAGCTTCAGTCAAACCACATGAAACATGTTTGTGCTGATGGTCCTTGGCATCAGCTCCACACACATCCCTTTTAAACTTTAGCAGAGACCTGTGAGACGCGGCTCGTCACTCGCTACTCTGAAAAGGTGAACGAGCTGTCGTTTGCTGCTAAAAAGTTTTAACCCGCAGCACAGAAGAATGGGAAGATTTAAAAAGCAGTTCTCTGTGCGCAAAGGTGCCGAAGTTGTTGCGGGTTTGGGCGCCGCTGTCTCGGTTCTGATCCAGTAGAACGCAGAGCTGCACTAATGAAAAGTACACGGCTCGAAATGGCTGTTATTTCAAAGAACGTGGAATATTTAAAACTACGCGGTTAACCGGTTTCAACCGGTTTATGAGGCTCGGTGGTCGGTCATGAAAATTCATATCTTTTTACATCCCTAATTAGTCGTGCTCCCAACCACAGAGCTGCTTTCTCACACACTGAGGTCAGTACGGTGGATGTCCACAGCAGTCGCCCAGCTCAAAACCCATTTTTATGATATGGACACAACAGTCAGACCAGTGTTATAGCAAGACTATGCTCATTGTCAACACTTCGTCACATTCGTCCATAGGAGGATTTTAAGACATAAAACATGACGATTCGAGGAGCACACCAAAGTTCTGTGTTTAAAATAGAATATCATACACTTTTACAGAATGATGTCGGGTGGATGGGGAGAAGTTAAGGCTGATCACTGATATTTCAGAAACTTAAAATATTGGACAGACAACGTACAATCTGAGTAACTAACAGTCCAGGATAACCGTTACAAGCTGATCCTAACCCTATTCTTAACACTAACCCTAGTGAATCCAAGCCCTAAACTTGACCCTAACCTTAACCTCTGACCCCAAACCCAATCCTGGGGACGGGGGGGACGTACTTGATTATATCAGATCATGCATTTCTGTACATTTGTGGCAGGTCCGAGTTAAGCCTGCATGTTTTATTGAATAAGAAAAGCCTTCCTCGTGCGCACACACACAAACGCACACGCAGGTGGTCAGAAGGGGGAGACTCACGGTTTGGAACTGAACACTCTCCTCTCTGCTGGACAGCTCCAGAGCAAAGAAGGACCTGTTGTGAGTCATGTTGTTAATGTCACTCCACCTACGGCAATTAAAGAGAGACAGAGAAAGATAGAGACAGAGAGAGACAGAGAGAGACAGAGAGAGACAGAGAGAGACAGAGAGAGACGGAGAGAGACAGAGGTTAAAAACAGGTGATGTCATCGTGGGCACACACACAAACCTGACATTATTCAAGACGACAACAACTATTCCAACAATGCCTGATGCGGACAATAGGCCACGCATCAGCAGGTTCCTTGTCAGTGCGCTGGTATGTAGATAACCTGTGGCTCAACCGCAAGACGGAATGTTCACACAGCACAACTTTAAGGATAATGCTGGTCTGTGAGTCACATTAAACTAGGAATGTGACATCACAAGACTCGATTGTTTAGAAAGGTCCAAATAGCTATATGCATGTTTAAAATCTGTATATTGCAGACTAGGGTTGGGACCTCCAGGATGTGACGGTATATTGCAGAGTTTAGTATTTTTTATCATGTACTTATGGCTCATTTTGATATGCCCTCGAAAGTTGTATATCGATTTTTAATATTATTGACATGATAGTCAACAATATAAACAAACAAATTGTGAAATTAAGGAGCTCCTTCAAGGCTGACAGCTTTGCTAACATACCAAGGCTCAGTGTTGGTAATAGCAGTTATCAATTCTCAAATTATTCTTATTCTTTATGATCTATGAAAACTAGAGCAGATTCACAAACCAGCAATTGTATTCTAATGCCTATTATTATTCTAAATGTCCTGGCTCTTTTACATGAATATGTTTTTTAAAATACTAGAATAACTTCTAGCCACCTTTTTGAAGAAATATTAACAGTAATTAGACTAGTTCATATGCACTGACAAACAAGACGGTGACAATTTTTGTTTCATGTGGATTGGTCCAGGAAGTAGAGAAGTCACCTCTAAACCAAGGCTTTTGCAGTTACCGGCAACAATTTCAGCTACCCACCACCACCATTTTAAAGTATAGGCTCTTTGGAATATTGCGATGTCCTATTCTTTATATATGATTTAATTCTTACTTTTCTTATTGTAAAATGTCTTTTCGGTCACAGGTTTTCAAATGATTCTTGAAAACATCTGACCTAAGTTCTAATGTTCATAATGGACGAAGAAATAGACTACTACTACCAAGTTTTCAAAAGGGCCACATGAATATTCGGTACAAACCTGAACACAAGTGGAGGCCTTCCATTTTTGTGCTTGACAAAGATGCCGTCGAGACAGGATCCCAGGGAGACGTCTGCCCCAGTGCTGTCCTGTGTGGGGGAGAGCGGGCTCGTATTTAGCACATTTCAAAGAGCAGTGGGGTACTTGGTGGATCATACTTTAGCCTGAAAACTCTCTTGTCCGTAGCCGTCGGTCTTCTCCACTTCCTGCATGTACAGCATCTCTGCTTCAGGGGCGGACAGTCCCCTAAAAACACAACCACCAAAGTGAGCATGAAGAAGAATTGAGACTTCACGTTGACTAGAACAGGTTTTCATACCGTAATCTCTGGTACAGAAGTGCCACTTTCTGTGTGGCCTCCTCCAGCACACGCTCATCATGAATCCAGTCCTACAAATACACAATAATTATTTCTGTTTATCAGTGCAGCAGAGATTCAGAAGCTGCATCAGGCAAAATATGGTAGAAACCTGTTATTAGGCCTTTGTCTACATTCTATATTTGAAATCTGCATTGCCCGTGAATAGTGCATTAGTCGTTTGTTTGGACTTGGCTATTTCCAACATTCCTGATTTAGCCACATTTCCTTGCTATCTTTTGAAGATAGCAGTGTCAATAAATCATTAAATCCAAAAGTACAAGAGTGAGGCTTACTTCTGGGAACAGGTCAAACTTCTGAAGGAACTCCTGTGAATCGTATCGATTGAAGTCTCCCAGAGCAGCTGCGAGGACAGAGGAAAATCAGAAAGTAACTGAGAGCGCATGTGTTCCAGATGCTGAGAAGAATCCAAGATATGCAACAGTACTTTGGCTAAGTTTAGAGGCTCACAGGGCGCCTGTTTGTAATATAGAGCGCTCCTCCGGCCACAGCTCCAGATATGCTGGCTATTCCAAGCACTGGCAGACTTTAAGAGCGTCCACCGGGAAAGGCCAGCACCAAGGGACGCAATTGCATTTGGATCTCAGCCAGAACAGTATGGTGTTTCTCCAGTGTGGACATTGCAGTAATCCATCCAGCAGCACTAAGACACTGATACAAGATGGTACCGTAGATTGCTTTAATTTGGAAAATTATGGTTGTGAACTTCTGTACCAACAGACCGTGGCTTAACCCTCTATGCACATGGGTCATTTTGGGGAACTTTCCTCGCCTGGTTTTCTTTGTGTATAATTGTTCATAAAACAGTCATCTTTTGATGCAGAGTCAAGCAGTATACTTTGTTTTTTTTCAGTACAACCTATGGTTTTAGAATATTCATATTGTAAAGCTGTCATATGAATTATATAAAAATGATGGAATCATAAAGACAAAGAAAAAATTCAAACGGAAAATCAATTTAACACAACACATGTATTGAAAAAACACAATGAAATGCTATAAACAACTTTTTACACTGCATAGAAATGTTATTTATGGTCTTGGGGATAATGGGGAAAAAAATTGAATCTCTAACTATTATACTTTTTACAAAATTCCACTATAAAAGCAAAAAACTCTGTACTCCTGATGCCCTTCCTGAAGCAGTTTGTCTATAATGCTGGGGTTGCTTCTGTAGTACAGCTGTAAAAAACGTAAAACATAAAAAACTGAGCCAAAAAACAAACAAACCATCAATTATTTATATAATACATATATTTATATACATCATATACACATAATGTCATTTTACTGTATTTATTATCGTCTTTATCAATAATGCGCACTCTTCAGCCGGTTATTGCAATCGCAGCTGTAGTTTCAACTGTGGGAGAACAGTAAACGCAGAGGAGTGAGACATCTCACTCTCTGACGATCTTTGGCAGTCCCCGTGTGTTTGTATCTCACAGCTGTTTGTACCTCACGGGTCACGCTTTGGACACGGACTTTCAGACAAACGTTGTTTATCCTCCGTGCATCGCACAGACAAATCAACTAGTTTCGGAAAGCCCTGAATACGTACTTCACAGAGGGGAAAAAAGTAAGTTCCTACGTTTTACCGTTCGCGAGTAAATTGATCATTTGTAAAACATGCACGCGGGCATATAGGGTTAAGTGACTGCCACGTGTGCCCTAAAAATCTGGTTGACATTTGTCATTTGACCATTTCTCCAGAATAACACCAGCAGCTGTTTTCTACAGAAAGGTTCTGATGTTGCTGCAGTTGTCCAGATCAAACAAGAGGAAGAGGAGTATCGGAGGACAATAGAAGACCAGGACATCCAGGTTGAAGTAGTGTCTAACTACAGAGATCTGGGTTTGCAGTTTGGACAATAGGTTGGACTGGAAGAGCCACATGGACTCAGTGAACAGCAATGGCTTCTTCAAGCCATCCCTCGCCCCCCTGTAAGCTCTGGAGGTGACCAACAGCAGCTTGTTCAGTCACAGAATCATTGCCCTGAGGTGAAAATCTGAACACTTTAGAAAAACTTTCTGTTCTATATTCTTTGTGTTTGAACGGTTTGATTTCAACAGTTTGGTAAAATCCTCTGAGATAACTACTGTTGTGATTTAGGGCTATACAAGAATACATTGAACTGGGATGAACTCAATATCAAACAAACCCAAAACAAGCAAAGGACAGTTTACCGTCACAAAAGAAAAGTGAAGGAGTCTTACCTTGCACTGCTAAACTTGCCAACTGGATGGCCTGCTCCAAGGAACATGAGATCTTTCCATCCAAAACATCCTTCTTCAGCTGCAGGTAATACTGATACCTGTGGGACATGATGGAAGATTCTTAGGGTATGGGACCAAATCTTGTGCCCAGTCTGAAACAGTCATTTTGACATTGCCCCATTTTGACAGTACCCGTAATGATCGGGACCAATAGGAGAAAAGTTTGATTTTTCTTTTAAGTTTAAAAAAAAAATTGAATTGTTGGTTTGAAATTTTCAATGAAGAAACATGTACCGTCCTCATCATAATACAAATAAAACCATTCCTAAGGTTTTTATTGAGACTAGATCTATAGCGTAATAATACAGTGGTTTTGACACTACTCCAGGGAAGATCTGCATGGAAGAATGGGCCAAAATACCAGCTAAATTGAGTGAAAATTGAATGCCAAATAAGGCTACGTTAAAAAGTATTAGACATTTGTTATTGACCAAATTCTAATTTTCTGCACCATTATACAGTTAGGTTGTTTTAAAAATGTGATGTCCTGGATTTTCTTCTTCCTTTTTCCCCACTGTATGCAGTTCAAAAGTGACCAACAGGTTAGACTCAGAGCTGTAGTGAAAGTGTGTGCCGACGGTGGCTCTTCAGGCCCAGAAAGGCATCAAGACAGTTTTTATTGAGATCATAAACAGACGGCAGGAGAATGTGACTGGAAGCAGGACTTTTCAGTATATCCTAGGACTCGCCCAAAAATGGAAATAACTGAAAAAGTACAATCTATATCTATTTTTTTTTCCACCCTAACACTTTGGGAATCTGTTTTACCTGGTGATCTCCTGCTGCAGCTGCGACACGCTGGGCACATAGAAGAGCACTCCAAAGTAGACCGTGGGCTCCAGGCCGTACTTGTCCAGCTGCTTCTTCAGAGGCTTCTCCAGGTCCATCCATCTCTGCTGGTTCTGCTTGTTGTAGTACCACAGGCTGAAGAAGGTTATCTGACAACAAAAATACAACTGTTTAAGAAAGAGGAGTTTCAGTATTGATCAGCAGTGAAAAAAAAAACACTGGTAACATATGAGAGATGAAAAAAATCGGAAGGCGCTCTTGACATTTATTTAATATCCTTCAATATGTTTCTAACATTAGCCTTGGCACTGCCCACACTTCCCACTATTAGCTCCCACTACAGAGACAGTGTAGTGGACAGGGGTTACACTAAACAAGCTATAATACAACTACCCAGCCCTCATTCTTCACTTTCTACACACACACAAAAACACACACATACATAGGAACAGATTTGTCATTCCAAGAGCCATTTTTTCTCTGGCTTTGCAGACAAAAATTATTGAGATGTTGAGACTGTTCTAATGTTATTTTCAAGGGCAATTTATCATCAGCCAAAAAACTCAGTGACAGTTCGACACACCTTAAATGACCTTTTCACCGGACACAAGGAGAGAGTCCTGAAACATCCGACTTATTGGAAAATCATTCATCCCTGACTCGCTAGTGACAACACTGTCTTGTAAATGAATTCCCCATGCCTGTGTAAAACCCAGTGTGTGCACACGCACGCACATACACACACACACACTTACAAACACAATGACGCATGCACATACTCGCACTCATACACACATATACATACTGTACATACACACCTCTCTGAGCTCCAGCCTCTGTGCCACAGCCTCCAGACACTCCTGCCCCGTGCTCTCCACAGAGAGGGTGAACTCCACAAAGTCTCCGCTCAGCAGCTGGATGCGCGTCACCAGGCAGCTCTTGCTGGACACTGTATATCTGCGAGTCCGCTTGAGTTTCAGGCCGAACGGCAGCGGCATGGTGACTCCTCAGACGGGGCGGGGGAGGTTCGGAGGTTTCAGGGGCGCCTCCTTCCTGTGCCCAAAACGTTCGAACACATATTAAACATCATGTTGAATAACACAATTAGAATTATTTTTTTGCCAGTGATGAATCCTAAGGCGGTGATGTCATGCAGGGTCGTTTTCTACTTTTCAAAAACCAGTAACAAACCAATCAGTTTCCCTCAGAAATGTTCTTTCAAATAAGTCACTTACATCATTGCTTAATTTAAGTCATAAGCTGAAATGAACACAGACAAATTAAAAATGATTCTGAGACGACTGCTGTGATTTAGGGAAACACACAAAGATGAAAAGCACTTTAAAAATAACAGATTGTTTGATTGAGTTAAAATAATGAATATAAATTGAATTGAATTCACAAGGATTGTCCAGCTGTTTAGTGATCGCACCAGCGTCACAAAGTCGTTCCAAAAAAAAGTTACACAGACCGACGTGTCACTGACTCATTATGTCCAAAACTTTATTTTTTGGAGTTCTCGGAATCGCTTCTAGTTCTTTGAATAAAGTTCACAAGTTGTGATGCTCGCTCATTCAGTATTGAATTTTGGTATCAGTTTTAGAATGTACTGTTATATTGTTTTTATGCTTTTGGACAACCCTAGTATAAAATCATAAAACTGAATTCATGAATTTAAAAAAAAAAAATTAAGCCCTGCTTTAATTAGACCAAGTTATGTTAGAATCTAAACCAGCATGAGAGTGTCGCTCATCCTACTAACGCTTAAGTTCCTTTGTTTATTCAACATTTTAGAAATAATTTCACATTGAAGAAAAGCAAATGCCAAAGAAATGAGAGTAGATTATGTTCCAGATTATTCCTTCAAGTTTTATACACAGGCCGGAAACACACCACACATATACACACACACTCACACACACGCACACGCACACACACACACACACGTTGGTAACAGATGAATCACAGTCACCACACAGGCACCTCCCAAAACTATGAAAACACAGGAGGACATCCAGGGTTTAACAGCTGACTTTGGGCTTGACCCCAGGACATCTCTTCCCTGGGTGACCGCATAATGGCCTGTTAGACTTATATAGCAATACAACTATCCAGCCCGACTTATGCGTCATGTATGAGCAGATAACATGTTTATTAATACAGCAGGTGCTTTGTATTTATTTCTATCCTGCCAATGAAATGTAAAAGAAAACATGGTCATTACTTGATCACAAATCCCATATGCTGCTGAGGTAGATCATGGCTCAATGGTGAAAAGGTAGATCTTGGTTTGATAAAATGTGAGGACTCCAAACTTACAGAACACAACCTTTTCAGTTAAATTCTATTTATTTTTGTACAGCCCTAAATCACTGCAGAAGATGTTTTGGAGGACTTTTACAACATTGCACGTAACAATAACAAAGGAGTCATTGGTCCATAGGGAGAAGGATGACCAATGTTAATAAATGTGCTTCAATGTTTTAAGTAGGTTTCTGTATTCTGAGTACTTGGAATACATATGAGTTCATTTGCATAATAGTGTAAAAATATAGTATTAGTCGTGAGTCATCTTTCACAGAACAAGGTCACACTCAGCACTTTGCAATGTTGGTGTAAGTTGCATTCGCTCCACACACGGTGATGACAGAAGCGAGAAGCCGAACAAATGCCTCCGATCATCCTCATCACTCTTCACTCTCTCACTACATTCATACCTTTGTACGTCCCGGAGCACCTGGAGGAAACCTACACAGACACAGGGAGAGCAAGCCAGGCAAACTCCAAACAATCCTCTGCTCAATTCAAAATGCACACAAGAGCAGTAAATAAACACAGATATAAAATGTATTTAACCGATCGAAAGTGCAACGTGATGTATTCAACATTTTCTTGTTAAAACAATGTAGCATAAGTAAAAAGTATAAAAAAATGGGCGTTTGAAAAGAGCAAAATAGAATCAGATGTGTGCACTGCTAAACCGGTCTGTTCTCCACCCGGTTTTGAACATCAGGGTAGCGGCAGAGACCAGGCAGAGACCAGGCAGAGACCAGACAGAGACCAGACAGAGACCAGGCAGAGACCAGGCAGAGACCAGGCAGAGACCAGGCAGAAACCAGGCAGAGACCAGGCAGAGACCAGGCAGAGACCAGGCAGAGACCAGGCAGAGACCATGGGATTCATTGTCAGTTTTGTTGTAATTACTGATTAGAAAATGAATCAACACACACGGACACATCACTAAAATCTAAGTTTTTGCTGCATGGTCAAATACCAAAGAGTGAGAGCAGTATTGGAAAAGTATTTCTGTTACTCTCAAAAAGTGTCTTTTTCTTTATCCAATTACCGTGTTTATCCAATACGTTCTCGATATATTCACTCATTCTATTTCATGTACAATATTCATGATCATATTAAAGGGCCAACATAATTCATTACACCAGCGACCAAAGCAGCTGATGCGACTCTCAGGACTAGGCAGCGTTTCAGATCAATGAAGATAAACTCAGGAACAGTCTTCCTTAAAATGTGAGACAGGCTTCGTCTCTGACATGTTCAAATCCAGGTTAAAAAACAGGTCCATTTAGCTGTACTACAACTGAAGGATTATAACTCTACTCTTTTTAATGTACTGTATTATTATATGTTGAGCACTTTGAGTTGCCTTGTGTATACACCGTGCTATACAGATAAACTTGCCTTTTTTACTTGGAGCAGATTTTCTATTCCGTCCACACATAAATCACAATTCTAACTTTGATCTGCACATTAGCTGCTACTTACACCTCCCACAGGGCTTTCCCCGCAGGGCAAACATACAAGTGATCATCCACAAAGGCTGATGTTAGCACAGGAGTAAAATCTCACAGTAAAAACTCATTAAATTCACTTTACAACTTTTGATAACAACATGTAAGCTAACAGCAATGGAGGCGCCCGGGAACACACTCTCCACAGCAGAGGCAGGGAAAACACCTCTAAATACTTCAATAATAAGCTCTTTTACCTCGACAGCTCACACGGGTCCATGCTGTGGTTCTGTGCGGACGCCTGGCTCCATGTACCCGGCCTGGGAGCGCAGTTTGTGGGGAGAAAAGAGTGGGAAAGTCGGTGGTGTGGTTGTGTTGGTCCCAGCTCCTGCAGACAGCTCCGTGTGTTAGCTCCAGCGTGACAAGAGCTTCCTGCTGCGGCGTGACGATAGGCAGGGGCGGGGCTGCAGATACAGGCCCGCGCCCACAGGCTCCTGCTCGATTGGGGTTTTTTCTCTAATGTGTATTTTGTTTTATTTTATTTCGTTAAAGACACAAAACAGGCAGGATTACAGGGAATTCTACGGATAAAAACAGAAACCTTACTCATAAAAAAATTAACTCATAAAGACAGGATTTACTGTATTTGTCTCTTTAAAACAGGATTTATTTGTCTCATAAAACAGAAACTTTACTCATAAAACAGAGACTTTACTCATAAAAACAGATATTTCTTTAATTTAAGTGAATGCAATAAGCTTCCGTAGAATTCATTACAAACTAATTCACAATTAATTAGTGAGACTTGTCCGATGAGAACTGCTCTGCCTGTACATGTCATGACAGCTTATTTACTCATTGTGTACACTTTGAATTCTCCCTGTGTGCTCTTACTGTCCTTTATGTGCACTGCAACATTGAAATTTCCCCACTGTGAGACGAATAAAGGATCTCTTATCTTATATTATCTGTATGAGATAAGCAAACCTATATTTAGGTGGATAGCACTCAGAATCCCGGTCGGACCAGGGCCTTTCTGAGTGGAGTTTGCATGTTCTCCCCGTGTCTGCGTAGGTTTCCTCTGGGTACTCCGGTTTCCCCTACCACTAAAAATATGTGCAATAGGTTTGGCATGTGCCTCCTGTTCGGCGACCTCGCTCCCATCTCTGTGTGGAGTGAGAGCACAAATGCCCAAAATTAACAATTGTAAACCGCTTTGAGACTCAGATCTGCAGTGAAAAGGCGGTATATAAATAAAGATTACTTACTTTCTGATTTATCCCACAGTGGGGAAATGTGGGTGTTGCAGCGCACATATTGACAGTCGTAAGAGCACACAAAATATACAGAGATAAGTAGCTGTGAATGCTCCTAAATAGCTGTGAATGCTTCATAAGCTTCATCCTTATTATTAAGAGCAATAAGAATTGGCAACTAGTCTGTGCCATCGGCCCCTCCAACCACCACCAGTTTGAATTTTTATACTAAATTTGTTTTTGTTTATTTAGTGTTGAACATATAGTGACTTATATTGAATATTTGTTTTGATCTTTTTAATGCTTTTTTTCCTGAACAAAAGGAGCACAGTTATCATAACTGGACCAAATTGAAAGTAGTTCCCTTTAGATCTATGTTTCGGGTTAAATCTTCATTAATTATGTAGGAAAACATAAAAAGGAACTACTATTCAATAAAAGTAATCATATTTTCAACACTGAACATAAGAAAAACACATTTCATATAAATTACATCTATTTTTGTATAGCCCTACAGAGTTGTCAATTCCTCAACAACAGATCAGAGAATCAGACAGCTCAAACACAGGAAATGCAAGAAAAACCAACACATAAGAGACATTAGACCATAGGGAGCGGCATGACCACTGTCTATAAATGTTTACAAATGTTAATAACAGTTCATAGATGGCCCGGATCATCACTGTCCTAAGACCATCCTGTATCCGTAAGGAATAACCCAAAAGTCCCAATGGGAAAAAAAAGGTCGGTGGTGGACTGAGGGGCTGGTGGCTCAGATTAGTTGCCTCATCTCTGTCGGTCTGCCCCAGGTCAGCTGTGACAAAAGTAGCAGTATGAAGTGAATTAATAATGCCATGTGAAGTGAATCATAACTGAGTGTCCAGAGAAGTACTACATTAAACTGATGCATGTTCATTATTATGTATTTGATATCATTTGTTGTGTCTCATTTAAAATGGTGAATCTTTTGAAATGTTTAAACCGTCGGAGATAGCAATTCACAAATGTTCACATAATCCAATATTAAACTCAATAAACGACTTTTTGAAACGTTTTTCAGGCTAAATAACAACATAGTTTACAAGTCAAAATTTCCCCTCGAGGACAAGAGCGTGGCCCTCTCAGCGCAGCTCCGTGTCTGCAGAAGCATACCACTGACCGGGATAGGAGCGCAACAAGTGTCCAGTCTTCATCCGCGACCAGCCACGAAAAAACAATTATAAAGTAACACACAACACACGCAAAGTCACGAAATGCATTGTGCAATAGCATATAATACTTTGTGAAATATTTACGAATAGTGTTGAGAGCTAAAACGCCTTTGGAATGTGAAGTAGTGCCTCAGCGGCGGAAGGATACATTACGGTTCTAGCTCGATAAGAACAGACTGCAGAATCCCGGGTGTGGTGCGGCCGCTATGTGGTGAATGTACTGGAAGTGCAGAGCCGCTGACCTGGAGTTTACCCCGTGCATCGATCACTGCCTCGGCCTGGCGTACAAAGAGTTTGGAATAGTTGAAAATGTTGCAATAATGGTGTCAATCTGCTGTTGTATGTTACTAAACTTAACATGGGGGAAGAGGATTTGCTTTTTTCATTTTTTATTATTATTATTATGTAAGATTTTAGTTACATTTGGTGGTTCGTTACATTCAAAATCCATAATACAAATGGATGAACATATAAACACAAATTGCAAACTTTTTGATGGTGGCTGCATGCAAATTCTATGTAATTGCAGGAGATAAAATGATCACAAGCGTTTGTCTATTTGTCTGTGAGCAAATGTATGAAGCAGAAAAATTAAGAGTAACGTGTAGGCCTAAACTGTATTGTTGGGAAATGTGTCCTCTGCATTTGACACAACCTTCAATGCCACTAGGGCAACTGCAGGACCAGGTTCTACACAGGATGGTGCCGGAGGATTGCACTAGTGGAAAAAAAATGCAAACTCCACACAGAAAAACCCTGGACGACCCGGTATCAAACCCACGACCTTCTTTCTGCGAGATATGAATTATAATCATTTGTATATAATGCACCTTACATTTCCACAAAACCTCAACATGCTGCCAGCCTGAAAGGTTCATTAAAAAAAGAGTAGGAAGACGTTTTTAATTAATTCAGAGGCAGGATAGAATGGATAAAACAAAGAAAAACATCACAAAAACAGCAATTTTTTGTCCAAAGTCATGTTGCTGTATAGAAAGTGTCCTTGATTCAGCTAATTTAGAAATTCTGCTGCCAAATCATTGAGGTGGATGGTTTATCTCATGCACACTTCATCATTAAGCTACAGTAACCTGTGCTCACAATAATTATATAGACCTATATGACAAGATATTATTAATTGTTCAGTTTTACTAACATTTCAATCATTTGTTTTTTAATATAAATTCTGAGATTAGTCACTCATTAGCATTTCAGAGGACAACATTCTTCAAATGCAGGCACCAGTGAAAAGGCTTAGATTCCATTCACACATTGTTTTAATAAAAGTATAAATTCTAAGCTGACAATTGCACTGAAATGCATTGTGGGTTTACCTGAAAGCCATTGTTCTTTATTTGTTTAAAAATTGTGTCACACTTTATATTTTGCTGCTAAATACTGTACTGTAACTTTGTAATGCACCATTAATTTGCACATTCTCCATTTGCTGCTGAATGATAATTATATGGTAAATGGTGACTTAGAGAAAAATCATAGTAACAATCCCAATTCTAAAATTTGAAATCAAGACAAAAAACATACACATAAAGCTGAATTCAATTAAAAATGTCCTCTTGAACACGCACCAAAATACATAAATAATAAACAGACAAAAGACTATAAAACTATATTTTAATCCTCTGCATTTCCAAAAACACAAACATAAATAAAAAAATCTGGCAAAAAATGTCAAAGCATAAAACTCTCACGTAAAGTCTCTAAAAGTCGTCATCACTTGCAGTTGAAGTCAGCGGCTCTTCTTTACCACAGTCAGAATGTTCCGACACGGTCAACGACTCCAAGGCTTTTCCCAAGTCGGCCACAGTGGGTCGCTGTTTCACGGGAGTCTCGCTGCCCTCGGACTGGCTCGAGACAGTGGCAGTTGTAGGAGTCGAAGAAGTAGCAGTAGCAGAAGTAGGAGCAGAAGTAGTAGGAGTAGAAGTAGTAGGAGTAGAAGCAGAAGCAGTAGTAGGAGTAGAAGTAGTAGGAGTGGAAGCAGAAGCAGTAGTAGAAGCAGAAGCAGTAGTAGGAGTAGAAGTAGTAGGAGTGGAAGCAGAAGCAGTAGTAGAAGCAGAAGCAGTAGTAGGAGTAGAAGCAGAAGTAGAAAAAGTACTAGCATATTTCTTGTGGTGATCGGACTCATTTCCTTCTATATCTTCTTCACTGAAACTGCTGTACTTGCTCAGATGCGACGAAATCCTGCCTTTTTCTTCACTCAAGTCGACTTCCTCCACGACAAAAGTCCGTTCCGCTTCTGATTTGTCCACTGAGGTGAGCGAGGGGCTGGTGTACTCTTCGGGATCAGACGTCCTGACAGCAGAAAAGGGTTCCTCTTCCACCTCAGCCTGATCCATGTCTCGCGTTGAGCCGTTGACCAGCCGCTCGGGACGTGCCTCAAAATTCAAAGTGCTGATGGGGGAATGGGACGGCTCTTTTAAGTCTTTGCGCAGCGCTTCCAAAAGATGCCGCATCTTACTCTGGAATGAGAACGAGAGATTTAAATGATTGTAAATGCGAACGGAAACTAACGGTTTACAGAAGAGCGCACCTCGTTGAGCTGATACCGGTTGGAGTCGATGTGGCGATTGATGACTCGCTCCACGACGCTTTAGAGACACACAAAGTATTGAGTATGATCAGAATCTAGTTGAAATGTAGGCAGAAAGGCTGAGCAAGAGAAACATGAAAGCTACCATTGACAGTGCTTATTAAAAGGTGGGGTACCTAATTTCTTTCTCATAAAAAATCCTCATAGTTTGTCCCAACAGAGAGTTTATGTCACAGTAAAATGTTGAGAAAATTTATTAGAAAAAAATGTTGTCTTTTGCATAAGAAAGAGCCGTGTGAGTCACTATTTGACATTTTGGGCTGAGTGAGGGTGGTGCTCTCTACTTCACTTTTTTGTCTGAAAAAACTGATCTAAAGATGTGACAGGTCAAAAACACATGCATGTGAAAACTAGTGAAAGAAAAGATACAGGTCTCTAAGTTATGGCAGGGAAATAACATGCAAATTTTACTTTTTGTTGGGGTATTTTTTTCTCTTTAGGGGAAATAAATCCTCTGATTGTGAACTTTCTGAGCAGACTGCAGAGCCTTTGATGTGATTATGATGCTGCTGACATTTGTATAAGTAAGGATTAAACAACAAGGTTTATGCTATAAAAGCTTGGCAAGTCGAGAACAGCACAAGGCGTGTGTGAACGATCAGAGAACACAACTTTGTCCCAGGGAGCAGTTGCCTTCACATTGTGTCCTGTTTTAACAAATTCAGAGTTAGACAGAAATCACCTGTCTGTGATGAATCCTCTGGACAGGATGTCGTCTGTGACGGCCGTGATAAACTCCAGGTACCGGAGCTCCTCCTCTCTACCGCACACAGAAGGGAGTTAATATGTGTATGTTTATGTGTGTGTGTGTGTGTGTGTGTGTGTTTAGAACAATCAGCTCAGAGAGACAACCACTCACTCTGCATCCACGCTCCGAGAGGGCGGCGACTTTGTTCTTTCATATGCAACTCTAGGAGACAACAGCAGTAGTTTTAGCAGTTATAGAGTTTAGGTCGAAACATGTCTTATCAGAAACCGACCTGGAGTTGTTTTTAGCTCCATCCATCCATGCTAACATTAGACACTTATGCCACAAACATGATCCCGCCCCTTCTGTCTAAATCAGGGATGTCAGAAACTGCTATTTCAGACCAAGCAGGAGCAAAGTAGACTCCACCTATTTCCACAAAACTTAAGTCTTAGCCTTGAAGTTTTGAGGAAACTCACTTGAACTCACTCGAGTTAGTTCACTCGAGGAAATGGGTGATCTGCTCGGTCTGATGGAAAACCTGCAGCCACAGCAGCCCTTTCTGGACCAGTTTGGGCATCCCTGGTCTAAACACAATGATGAAGGATGAAACAGAGCTGTTTTGGTAAAAACAGGGAAACGGTTCTGGTAAAATTACTTAATGTCATGTTTAAGTGACAAAATAATGAATCATATTACTTCTTTTGGTCTGGCTTGGTTCTAAACAGAGATTTGAAGAATCTATGCCAAAACAGTGTTGTTATTGGCCTTGCCATTTGTATTTTTCCTCCACCCCTTCAGCTAGACCACCTCTGCACCACCCACTGAGTGATGACCGGCACCTGCAGGATGCCAATCTGCTCCGGCATAAAAGGCCCCAGGCCCAACTGAGCGCTAACTTTCTTTATGCACAGTTCTGCTTGGTGTTTTTGTTTTTTAGTGATCTGAGTTTTGTACAATAAATGCATTATACTTGCATAGTCTGCGACCTCTCACCTTCATCTTTTTACATGATTCCACACCCGGTTATTTACAACAGACGTTGCGTGCTATCACTCTGGACTCTCTGGCACGTAAGTGTCAAATCCATGCTTGAGTATAATACAATACTTCAATCTCATACTCTGGCTTGTGACTGCTTTTTAAATAATCATAAATCTATGATTTATAACAAAGTACTTGCAACAAGTAATTTTGCTTGTAGACTTTGTGGCAGCCACCATCATAGTTATAGCAATCAAGTAAATGCAAATATTGGGGCTTTTGAACAAGAAAAGATCCACTCCTTGCAAAACCAGGAGGGAATAGTTTGCCTGAAACTCATTTGCGGACAGTTTGTGAAATCCATGTATTTCTCACATTAAAAACATTGGCAGAGTGTGAAGTAAAGTGCTGAAACGTGATGAAGGAAGCCTACCTGTGCGGCTTGTGTCTCCGATCGCGATCTCTGCTGGAAGATAAGTGCGAGTGGTTCAAGTAATCTTCGGAGAGCTCGCGGCCTGTGCTGAATCCCTGCAACCGCCAGAACACGATTACACACGAGATCTCAAAGAAAACACTTCTGCTTTCATTATTAAACTTCTCACAACTCTGGCCACAAGGTCGTAGTCTCAAAGGATTTATCAGAGAGTGGAACACTTAAACAGGCTTCTACTCTGACAATGTTCAAATCCAGGTTAAAAACAGTTCAGTTTTGCTGTGCATATAACCAAAGGACTGCATCCTCCCTCTTTTTAATGCACTGTGATTATTAATGCCTTGTGTGATTGTTTCTATCTTGTTTTGTTAAGCACTTGACTTGTGCCTTGTGTATGAACTGTGCTATACATATAAACTTGCCTAGACAGGAGGGGCGGGGGAAGTTTCTATATCATGTGGATGGGGCTAAAAAAATCTTGTGATTTTCAATGTTGTATCTATAGCCATAATAGCACTGTCTATAAAGAAGTGGCCAAAAATAGGAACATATTTAAAGACTGTAATGAATTTGACAAAAAAGTAAACGGGAAACATAATTGTTGTTTATTTTAGGACACCAAGTCTCTCCATTGTGTCTTTGGTCGTTATGTCAAATTTTTTTATTGTAACTAGCCTGACAATTTACACCAGCAGCCGGTTACACATTTCTTAAACCTACGTTATGCGTATTTACGTTACGTTACTGAGTGTAAAATTGGGATTTAGTTTAGTTTACAACAGAACTCAAAAGGTTTTGTTGTCAGAAATTATTTGAGATGAGAGGTGGACCAAATCATTAAATTTCCATCTGGATCCAGGGTTTGATTTAAGGAACGGAAGAGGCCACATTACATTTGAAACATACCTGAGATTTTTCCTCCATGTCCTGAGTGATTTTTCTGCCACTTGTGCTGTGTGACAAAAACATGTTAGTATGTAATTAGGTTGTTGACTTGTCGGTCTGGTTCACTTTTAATTGGGCCGACTCCGGTTCACTCTGGGACTTTATTCAAAGGACTAGTGCACACATGTTTCTTGGGTAGTGAACCAGAAACAGTCCACTTAAAGTGAACTACAGAGCTATTTACATCAGTTTCAGTCTAGCCTGACTAGTCTTTTTGGCTTGTGACCAGTAGGGAATAAAACAGAAGAAAATGGATGCATGGTATTTGCTACAGTATACTCAATAACTACAACTATAATAACCACAAATTATTTCATAACTACCGCTACTATATTTTTGAGTAATGTTGGACTAAGCTCCCCATACTGAACCAGCACAAGCATGTTCTATGTGGTTACCTGTTGTGTGGGAGTCTGGGGTGAGGGGGGGCTCTGTAGTATCTGTACTGGGACAAGTATGAGCTCTTGTCAGACTTGAGGGTCTTGGGCGTGAAGGGCTTGTCCTGGGTGAACCTCTGGGCGTGTTTCTCCAACAGGTCTCCACAGTACGTCTTCTGTGCGGGGTCCTGGAAGGCTTTGAAGGTCTGGTCCCCGCCGCCGTGTTCAGAGTAGGCCGATGCTATATTGAAAAATATATAACATTAGGGCTGTAGTTAACCATTATTATGATGGTTAGTAGGTTGTTATCGAGAGGGTAAAGATAAAAACCATTTTTATGTCTTCGGCGAATAGACATGTATGCCTTTAGCATTGTGTAATACTATCAGACTACAGCTGGCCGTTTTCCCCCAAAAAAATAATCTTTTTTTTCTTTTCATAAAATGCACCACAAACTAAATAACCCTCTACTATCCATATATTTAGTTCTGTTATAAAACAGCTTCATTGATTTACTTGATGGAGCTGAAAATGTCAGAATGATGACTGCTTATTGTCTCACTAGATTCTGAGCTTTAAAATGAGTTATGACATGTTGGCAGAGCGAAAGTTTGACCAAAATTTTAAGATGAAATTTTTTTTTTGTATGACCGGAGCCAGAGCTGTGTTCGCATTAACGGCAGTAAGTCAGACCTGTTCCCAGTGCATGTTGGCCTCCGCCAGGGCTGCCCTTTGTCACCGGTTCTGTTCACTGTGTTTATGGACAGAATTTCTAGGCGCAGCCAGGGGTCGGAGGGGGTCCAGTTCGGGGACCTAAGGATTTCATCCCTGCTATTTGCGGATGATGTTGTCCTGTAGGCTCCAACGAACCAGGACCTGCAGCATGCACTGGGATGGTTTGCAGCCGAGTGTGAAGCGGCTGGGATGAGAATCAGCACCTCCAAATCCGAGGCCATGGTGCTCGACCGGAAAAAGGTGCTTTGCCCTCTCCAGGTGGGTGGAGAGGTCCTTCCTCAAGTGGAGGATCTTGTTCACGAGTGAGGGAAGAATGGAGTGTGAGATTGACAGGCGGATCGGTGCAGCGTGCGCAGTGATGCGGTCGCTGTATCGGACCGTTGTGGTAAAGAGGGAGCTGAGCCGAAAGGCAAAGCTCTCAATTTACCGATCAATCTTCGTTCCCTCCCTCACCTATGGTCATGAGCTTTGGGTAATGACCGAAAGAACGAGATCGCGGATACAAGCGGTCGAAATGAGCTTCCTCCGCAGAGTGGCTGCTCCCTTAGAGATAGGGTGAGGAGCTCAGTCACACGGGAGGAGCTCGGAGTAGAGCCGCTGCTTCTCCACGTCGAGAGGAACCAGTTGAGGTGGCTCGGGCATCTGTTCAGGATGCCTCCTGGACGCCTCCCTGGGGAGGTGTTCCGGGCACGTCCCACCGGGAGGAGGCCCCGGGGAAGACCCAGGACACGCTGGAGGGACTATGTCTCTCAGCTGGCCTGGGAACGCCTTGGGGTCCCCCCAGACGAGCTGGAGGAGGTGTGTGTGGATCGGGAAGTCTGGGCGTCTCTGCTTAGACTGCTGCCCCCGCAACCCGGCAACGGATGAAGCGGAAGAAAAGGGATGGATGGATGGATGGATGGATGGATATTTTTTTGGCCCAGCCCTTCATCAGCCTGAAGTCAAACTCAGATATGGCCCTTCTCTTACCTGCGTGTCTGCTGCCGGAACACGGCCTCTGCTTCTGCCCTGCTCTGTAGGATGGGTACACGGTGCTGTTGGGGTGGAAGGAGGTGGATGGCCGAGGGGTGGAGGCCAAGGAGCTGCCGGAGAACAGGTAAGGACTGTGCTCGTATTGGAGAGACATTCTGCTCTGTGGAACGACACTGAGGCATTAACACATGGTTCTAAAGTAGTTTCTCAAATCCCTGCTCCTATAATGCCTGATGAATGTACGAGGGTGTAAAGCTGGTGTTTGGAGGATAGCCTGACAGCATAATGACCAACTGATGCCTTTAGACGATGGGACATGTTTAATTTATTGGCAAGAGTCTAGCTTCCAGATCAAATGTACCAGCAGCAAAGAACTTTATAAAAGAGATAGACAGAGCACCTTAAATTTCACCACCTTTTCACATTATTATATAAATTCTGCATAAGAAAATTAAGGTTTTTTTGTTCCTTGCTGATGCAAGAGGGTCTAAGAACAGTAATAATCCGGGACGTTAAAGGAGATTCATAGACACTCATTCATTTTTAATTGACATTGGTCATTCTGCTGCCTATGGACCAATGGCTTCTATGTGTTTGTTGTTATTGCATTTCCTGTGTTCAAGCCGTTTGATTCTCTGATCTGTTGTTGGTGAATCGACAACTTTGAAAAGTAGCACCTGGGAATACAGCAGTCAGCATTATTCTAACTACTAACCATGTGTACCAGTGCTGTTCATTGTAAGTAAGTAAGTAAGTAAGGTTTATTTATATACCGCCTTTCACAGACAAGGGTCACAAAGCTGTTTACAATTGTTATTATTTTTTTGGGCAATTGTCCTCTCACTCCACACAGAGATGGGAGCGGGGTCGCCGAACAGGAGGCGCATGCCAGACCTATTGTACATATTTTTAGTGGTAGGGGAAACCGGAGTACCCGGAGGAAACCTACGCAGACACGGGGAGACCATGCAAACTCCACTCAGAAAGGCCCTGGTCCGACCGGGATTCGAACCCAGGACCTTCTTGCTGAGAGGCGAGAGTGCTATCCACTCAGCCACCGTGCCGCCTTGTACCTGTGCAGGGGAGCAGGAGGCTCTGCTGCGGTGGGACCGGACGTGGGCCGACTGAGGTCTGACGCTGCTCTGAGCTCCTCTTCCTCTCAGCTGGTCATTGTCTGAAACCAAGAGTATGATTTAGAGCCACTCACTCTTCAACAATATACTGTAGTGGTGTGTTTTCCATAGACTTACACTTGACGCAGTAGAGCAGACTTTTGGGCACAGAGGTGTCAATGGCAGCTGTGGCAGGAAAGTGGGAGTAGGAGAGTAATTGAAGCCTACCTAATCTTTGAATCTTTGGTTCATAACAAACACACGCTGTTTGTCTAAGCACAGGAAGAGTCTAGTAAAACTAAAATGTTGAGAGCAAATCACATCATAACATTCTGTCTTCATGTTATTACAAAACATCTTTTGCATTCTAGTAAGAAAGATCCCTGTGAGTCATTATTTGATGCTTTGGGCTGAGTGAGCAAACAGAGTCACCTTTTCGACTTCAAACTATGGCAGTAGTTTTCTGAGGGACTATAGGACCAAACACAATAATACTTGGGGAAATGTGACGTCCACTTCTATTTTGAAACTACAAACAGTAAATACTATAGAAGATTTTAAGATAAGATTTTTGTATCTATAGTACCTTTGGCTGAGTAAACCTTCTTGTAATGAGAAATCATGTGATCCCTGACGATGGACTGGGTCAGTTTGCTGGAGGAGCGAGGACAGAAAGCTGAGGAGAAGGAAGAGCATAGGAGAAGTACTTATATAAAGGTTCATTAAGTAGTGAGTAAGTCATCTTCATACATATTCATGAAACGCTTTCATAGACATAAATCCACAAAGACATTTTACTGTTTTGTTTCATTTAGCATGATATTATAGCTGTCTCCCATGCAAGCACTGACCTAATCCTATGGTGACAAGACAAGGCATTTACACTTTTACTTGAGTTAGCAAGTTTGAGTTAGTATGTTCTTTAAGTGAGTGAAGACTGTATCTACCCTGTACTCTAAAAGATGACCCCCCCCTCAGTCAGTGAAAACGTGTGTAATTTCAGTCATAGTTTTATTGATTTTGGCCATAGCTGTTTGATCTCACATCTCAAAAGCTGAACAAGGTCGGGCCTGGTCAGTGTGAATACTTACGGCTGATCTTTGCACTGGAGCCCTTTGAGCGGAGACTGTACCCCGAGGCAGTAGACGCACTGCCTAAAGAGACAATCAAATTAGTGTGGAAGAAATATAATATCAAACCCCTATCAGACATATATCACATATATCTTAACAGTGGTTCAAATATACGTATCAACTTTTTGTACTGGGTCCCAGTGTCACCTTAAAAACTGGAAACTGCCAGAAAACCTGTCAGTGATAAATCTCTTGCTGCCATCTTGTGGTTCCTCTTGCATGTGCGTTCCCTGTTTTATTGTAAGTTTGTAAAATAAATAATGCATTTTGTACGTAAAAAATTAACAATGTTCTGCTTTTAACGGTATTATTTTAACCAATCTGTACTGGTGCTTTGACACTTTCTTTCTGCTGTCACTTTGTCAAGCCACTGCTGAAATGTGCCTATTTTCATCGCAATTGTCAGACAAATCAAAGGAGTATATGACAACACATGTTAAACTAATGTGGCTTCTCCAAATGACGAGGAAAAAGTGTGACAAACATGAGTAGCTAAACTGCATTTAGCTAAACACTGCATTTACAGTCACCTTCCTGTCAAATATATGCAAAGTTATTATGTCTTAAACCAACACACAAGGACGAAGTACCAATGTGCGCCTTAACATTTAGCATCAGCGCTAGCCTCAGCTCGTAAATACCGCTAATGCTAATGCTAGTGTACACACCGGGTGTTATCCTCGGGTCCATGTCGTCTTCAAAACAGCCCATTTTCACCACTAATCCTTCTCATACATAACTGCAGATAAAGGCCGCAGCTGCTACACCCGCAGTAAGAGAGGAAAAACATGTTGTGCGAGTTTAGTCTTGGTAGAACCCCCTTTTCCAAGCGTAAAACACTGTGCTAAGCTAGCTCGGTGTAAGCTTCTCCGTCGCCATGCTGGTTGCTATGACAGTGACGTACCTTCACCACGCCCAGAACGACACAGAGAAAAAAAAAATATTACAAAAACTAAAATCAACTTACTAAATTATCAACTACAACAAACAACACACGGTTTTTTTTTACATGTTAAAGAATTACATTGGCAGAATTACAACATTTATAATTAAGCGCCTATCATTCAAAGTATCCAGATTATTTGCCAACATAAAATGCGACTATCCTGTACAAACTGAAGCTTATTTGTGGATGTGGCTTTTTGCTACTTTTAGAATATGTAGAGTTAGATCATAATCCAGACACTACAAATCTTATGGTCAAAATATTTGTTATAGTAATTGTTATAGTGAAGAAAATCCATAATATAATCAATGGACCTACATCAGTGTTGCTGTTACACAAGTTACAAAACTAAGTTATATATAATAGGCATTGATGAAAACGTAATGATAACGTAACAATATTCCTGCCTGTACATATGTAGCTGAGTTACAATACTTTACTGTACTTGTTGTCTAACTTGGTTAACACTAACCTTGTCAGACTCTGATAAGGTTTGAGTGATGCTGGTCTAAGTTTTGTTTATAATGCTTTTTTGTTTCCAAAACTCTTTGTCTCACACAGGTAGGTTTAAATCTTGTGTGCGATGTGTGGCCAGTCTTCTTGATAATGTGAGCAGTCTTGTTTAGTTGAAGGGTTTTTTTTCTCTTATTTAGAAATACATGTAAATAAAGAAAGTATGTAGATAGTTAGCAATACCTTTTCAGTGCACCTATTAAACTTATCTAGGTGAATTAATGCTAAGGTCAATCCATCCATTTTCTTCTCCTTAATCCATTTCTGGGTCAGAGCAGTGGCAGTCAGAGCTGCACACAGTGCACAGAGGACCCTCACTGGTCTTCCTGCAGGTGGTGAGTCCACAGAGCCTCGATCTTTCAAAGTGGGGTTAAGTGTCTTGCCCAAGGACACAGCGACAGCAGTCATCAGTGAACCCATGACCTTCAGGCTCAAAGGCCAATAGGGCTGGAAAGTCTCGTTCCAGAAGCACTTCCGGTTCATTGCTCGGATACAAACAAACCATCAGCTGTTCGAAGAGGCTGTTTAAATGAATGGTGCCAAATGCTCTGCTTTGTTTTCGGCTGTTATCATCAAAGTTTACATGAAGCATGCTCATTTTTTAGGTTTCCCAAAGACCAACTGAAGCTGTGGGAAAAGCTATGCAGTTGTGATAAAACATTTTGTCTGATTTTACAGATGGTTAACTTGAATATGTATTCAAGCTAACTTGTAGTTAATGCTATCTTGTAGTGCGCTGCCGAGCCTTTCATTGTGGCTTGTATTTTAAGATAAGATTAACTTTAACAGGATACATATTTATTTGTATTTATTTGAGAGATAAAGGAGGAACATATTAGCACATATTAAATAACATTTAACAAATGTTCAAATATAACAGAAAACGGACAATCATAATATTAGTAGTAAATGAATAGGTAACCCAACTACATCATGTTATTTTTGACAGCACAGCAAAAAGAAAAAAGGCCCAATGTGAAGCTGCAGTGAATGTGAAGTGGAGATGGAGCTGATGTACAGATAGAAAACTGATCATTCATAAACATTGGCTCATAACCAACGCAGCAAAGACAGCTGTAAGGGACATCAATTTATTTGCATGGGAATAGTGTTTCTATATTGTCTTTCTGATGCTTAATAGTGGATTAAAAAACAATAAGTTTGAACACGGCCCTGCACCTTTCTCATCTCCCCGTCATATAAACTTCAGGACATGGTCAGTTCACAGCTAATTCCGACCGCTCACTCAGTTTTTCTGTCCCAGAGACGAAATGTGTCCAAAATAACACAGGAAAGTCCTTTAAGGAGGAAGAAGTCGGCGATCTCAGCACCATACAAGTGGCACGTGTGGTTTGTTTGTATCCGCGGGTGGAAATCTCGCAAAATCTCGCACTTCCGCTTTCCAGCCCTATGCTCTACCAACTGAGCCACTGTCGAGTTGTTAACGGGTCAACTCAAATCTGGAGAGACTCAAACAGACAAAACATAGTAATGGAATTGTATGTTGATTGGCAGGTAATCTGATACTGCATAGATTACACATAAGACACTGAGGACAATATTTTCAAGATTACATTTATTGTGCTGAACAGAATTTGGTTGGGATTTGGCCTTAGACCCCGGCAGAGCACTTCATGATTGCAGAAGGGGAAAGAGATTATGAGATGAAATCCCCCGGGGCCCAGACTTTGGTGGTGGTAGCTAGGAGAAGGATCAAGGAGCTGGCCTAGAACAAGGCGGAGATTGGGAGGAGGAGGGTTGCAGCGTGAATGAATCTGCTGCATGGACGGAGCTCCGCGGGCAGCAGGAAGCTCATGCGGGCAGTGCCTGATTGCTGCAGGTGAAGATTTGCGCGTGGCGCTGCGCAGGTGAGTGTGATTGACTGATTGCTGTTGCTGTGGGCAACAGGAGAAGTGAGCGCTACAGGAGCACTCAGAGCTGGGTTTTCATGTCTTCAAATCTGAATTTGCGCTTGAGCTTAATTTACACACACATAGAATACAATATATTCTTTCATTATTTTGACCTCAAGGACAGAACAATGTGTGCAGCCTCTGTTTCCCGGACTGAGATAAAGCCAGCTTCGGATACATTCGTGAAGACGTCATCCAAACCCTCTGTCCCTCACATTCACACTGAGTTTAACACTATAACAACTGTTAGCAAGAACACTCAGGCTCTTCCCCTGCACTTTCTGGAGGAGCCCGTAGCTATGCTGTTACATAATGTAACTTTTACTTGTGTTGTATTAAATCCTTCTGACTTTATATTTCAGACTGTTGGTCCTCTATGTTCAATGCACCTTACATGAGCACCCTGACAAAGAAATGTAAATGATCACATTTATACAGTGCTTTTCTATATTTTTAAGGTACTCAAAGCGCTTCACCCCAGGGAACCAATCACCCATTCACACACATTCATTCACCAGCGCCTGCACTGGACGCGAGGCAGGTCCAAGGTCACAGAGCAGCAATGGGAGCTGGTTTCACCTACCGACCTGTGGGTCAGTCAATCTGACTGCTCAACAAATGATGATTTTGTCAGAAGCAAGATTTGAATGTTTATGCTTTCTTTGTTGTTTTGCAAAGTATACAGAAGGATTGGTTTAGAACATTTTGTGTTTTCAGTTTCATCCTGAAATGATAGTTCTGACATCACTGTACAGTAGTCTGGATACGACCATGAGACAATCTTCAGGACAGAGTTTAGCCTAGGGTGACCAGTCGTCCTATTTATCCATTGTTGAGCTCCATGTCCCGGGACATTCATCCATCCATTCATCCATTCTGTTCTGTGTCATGTGGATACAGGTCAGGTACAGTATGGCAGCAGTCTTCCACAAGTCCCGGTCCTCTCTGAACCACATCTGACAAATATGACTCCTCGCAACAAGAACCCTAACCCAGGACAGAAACCCTGCCTTTGCAAAGGAGCTGATCATATTTTTTCTTTTGTTTCATCAATAGTGAAGACATTAATTGAAAAAGACAACCAGAGAAAAAACTTGGACGTGCAAAAGAGACTATCTTATTGCATGATTGGGCCTGATGATTGAATGGAATGGGACATGTGGGAAAACTCACTTCTTCACAATTGAATCGTATTCATTATGGTCACAGGCCGCTTCTTTCTTATGTGGCTTCAGCAATATTGATCATTGCATCAGTGACTGTGGCTTTCAGATTTTCATTTAATGGAAAATAAAAGGGGCGACAGTAGCTCAGTTGGTAGAGCACTGGCCTTTGACCCTGAAGGTTGAGGGTTCAAGCCCACCACGGGACCTTCTCCACCGACTCCCACTGATGACTGCTGTTGTTGTGTCCTTGGGCAAGACACTTAACCCTGCATTGCCTGAAGCCCCCGCTGAAAAATCAAGGCTGTATTGTCACTGACAGAGCAGCCGTCCTCCTGTGGACTCACCACCTGCAGAGGATCAGTGAGGGGCTGGTGCTACAGTAAGTGAATTGGGTGCAGCTCTGACTGCCACCCCCCCGACCCAGAAATGGATTAAGGGGAAGGAGATGGATGGATAAAAAATAAAAGGACTGGAGAAACTCACAAAAGAAAATAAGTTCTTTGCTTTATTTGAAGCATCTCAAGTTTGGGAAAATAGAGAAACTGTAGATGTTTTTATTTGGGCAGAGAACCGATGTTTTGGCACTTATAATGATTGAAACATAGAAAATAGAAATGTGACCTATGGACTCTGGGCACGTACACATGGACCTCCACATGGACCGAAAGAGAAGGGCGAAAAGACATCGATGCTGATGAGTTTACTTTTGCAGACAGAGAAGCCGGGGGCGCTCATGCCAGTGTTTTATTTTGTGGATATGGATTCAAAACAAGTCAACAAGTCAGACAATTTTTTCTGTTCCCACTCCGGCAACAAACTTGTCTTTCATTCCATCATTGGACCTTGTCAAGAAGTGGGAACAAAGTGTGTTTTGAAAGTGTCCATAGCTTGTCTTGCTTTTGCACATTTTGTTGTGTCATCGCCGCACCCACACAACAACAAATATTTTAATGTTTTACCAAAAGACTACAACAAAGTAACAGACACCTGTGAAGTGAAAGCAAAATGCTTTAGATACAAAAGCACACAATTTCTTTAAAAAGACATAAAGACGTAGGAGGAAGTAAATATAGTATACAGTAAGATTTTTATGTTTTGATTTTTTACATAAATATTATCATTTCAGTGACACTAACCCCAGAATTTTTTTTTATGGTACTACCACAGCACATCTTTTGAATAGGCAACCTTTGTCCTGCAAAACACAGCTAAAATAATCCCTTTAATTAGGCTGTTCACCACTGCATTATGACTACATACAAGAGGCTAATTCTATCTCTCCTTTCCCGTATATACGAGCAGTGATGACGTAACCCGTGCTCCCAGCCCGTGAGTGGCCGCTTTATGTGAGCCGAGACGCTGCTTCCAGACGCATCGCCATGTGCGCGGCCACCGGCTCCTGCTCCTTCTACTACTACTACTACTACAACTCCTACTTCGACTACAGATAACCCAGCGTCTTCGCAACCCCAAACAGTGAGTTAATCCTATACAAAACCCCTTTATTTGCAGGTGCTTATGTTTCCCTTTACGCGCGGGTGGATGAGAGGGACCGGGGAGGAGCGCGCAGCATCCATCATCATTGTTCTCTGATCTTGTGGAATAAAAAAAACAAGCTGTAGGTTTTACGCACGCTCTAAATATTGTCTGGGAGGGATACAAATGGTGCTTTCTCCAACTTGTGCACGACAAAGCTTGTAAAATGTCTCGTAATGTTGCTCTTTTTGTGTCCGCCGCGCGTACGGGAAGAAGAGGAGGAGGAGTGATAGCAGCCGGGGAGGTGGCGTGTTGATGCGGGTGGATTCGGGGGTCTACGTGTTTATGGTTGGGGGGGTGAGAGACATCTGTGCGTTTTTAACTGATTTCACTAATACATAATATGAAGACATATAAAATAAGAATGCAAAAATTACGCCCGCGGTTTTGACAATGAAATTCGCAACAGAAAACTCTAAGCAGGAGATGGATCCGGAAAAAGGTTGGTGGTGTTTTTTTTATTTCTCATTTTTAAAAATAATGCTATTGGCTAAAAGGGCTGCTCGATTTTCCAATAGTGATTTTTCATTAAAACAATGCGATGCGAATTATAGGTTTTCAAAGTTAGTATCACACGAGTGTTCAATTTGAAAATAATGATAATGATAATAATACTAATGATACTAATAATAATGTGTGTAATAACAAAACATTGTATAACAATTAAGGTTATTATTGTACTGTCAAAACGCAGATACGGTAGGAACAAGCTATTTCCCACAATGCAACTGTGCTTGGACTCTTATCCATATGCAAATATGCATTCAATCTTACGTGTATTGATTTCAAGAGATAATTTCTTTGTGATTTGCTAGTTGTGTCCAACACAACTGAGATCGTGATGACTTGTGTAGCCACAGTGTGATACTGTATGATATCTTTAAGCTGAATAATAAATCCATGGTGTTATTATTATAAGTTATTATTATTCATAACTGATGCTAAAACAATGGGCGTATGTACACGTTCTTTCCACTGTGATCATTTCTTTGTTGTAGTTTGTTCTACAAGTATGTTTTTTTTGTAAACATAATTGTGCAATTTACCTTTTGATAAAACAGACAAATAAGAGAAAGCTTCAGGGATTATTCTGATGAGTTGAATTGAAGTCATTAAGTTGAAGCACTTTAATGATCACGTGCCCTTTTCTGAAGCAATAATTACCTCAGTCTGTCAGAATGAGTTCTCTGGACAGGTCTTTACTACAGCAGTGAAAACACTCTCCTCTCGAAGCCTAATGATGTGCTCTACATGATGAGGACGCACTCACACGGTGGTTCAGCAATTAGCTCTTGTGCTTTACAGCAAGACATGTCTGTGTTTGATTCCTTCCTCCAGGTATTTCTGTGTGGAGTTTGCATCTTCTCCCTGTGTCTGCATAGGTTTCCTCCGGGTGCTCCGGTTGTACACTAGGTCTGAATGAGTGAGTGAAGGACAGTGATGTTAGGACCTTCTGTCATCATCGTGTATGAAGTGATACGCTTTGGTCTGTGAAATGTGCTTTATGGTTGTCACAATTGTTACATTGATCTCATTTGTAAAATGCATATTTATTTCAGAATGTGTTTCAGTGCATTAATTAGTTCATAAATAGTCAACTTTAATATATGCATCTTGTTCTGTTGAAAAGCTTTTCAATGTGAGATAACCAACACCGACCAAGACTAAAATAGCAGTCAGACTTTTTCGCTCTGAATAGAAAAACAGTATTCTAATGAAAGTTCAGCGTTTGCTCTTTCCTCTTCGCCTTGAACAAACCAGATTCAAATGTTTTCTATTTTCAAACATTTTGGGAAATGACAATTGTAGTGAGCTTCTGCAAACTTACTTTATGATATACAAAAATGTATTGTTTATCAACAATTTGATGAGGCAAAATGTCATTGGTTCTTCTATACCGGACATTGTACAGCGATGTTATCACCTCGACATGTTTCAATGTTTGACTTCTGTCTTCCTCAGAAAAGTTGATCCTTCCCAAACTATTGGTAACAGGCTTCTGTGGTTACTGAGACGTTGAGACAGCCATCTCCTCTTTACACCATAAATAACACATACAACTTCAGCGAGCATTATTTGTCAGTTTGTTCTTAATAATGTCGAGACTTGTTAAAGATGTATATTGATCTGTATGATTGGAATACTTTCACAATAAGACGCCTAATAGTGCAGTGTAAAAATGCAGCTTTGGACCAAAACAATACTTTTTTCTGCATGTTTCATTATTAATGAGCTACATTTTTGTTACACGTGCGGAGGAACAAAACTCTGGCTGTTTGTTGTTGTTGCTTGATGCAAATTGACGAAGACATACCTTTCCCAGCTTGATTACACTCTTTGAAAGTTGCTTTTGAATGGGGAGGATCGCACAGACGTCTCAGCAGACCGCAGATGATGTTCCCACAATCGATTCTGATGCGTCCAGTTTGATGCCTGACATTTGAGAGCCTGTTTTGTAAAAGCAGCTACAACCTCGGAACAAACGCTGACCATTACTTGGACAGAATCGATTGGACCACAACAGAGTTCCATTTCATGTTCAGGAACGTGTTCGCAAAATGTCTTCGGAGATGACAGACTCTAAATGTGGAGGAATGCCATGATCTCTGTCAATGTGCAGAGGTGAGGACTGGATGCCGTTAAAGCTGGGGTACCTAAAGTTCAAAACAAATGGGTAACTAGGGTTCTTACACTGGTTTTCACATGCATGCAGATTTAGCCTCTGTCACATCTTTAAATAAGATTTTCATTTAAATTCAATTCCATTTGTTTTTGTATAGCCCTGAATCACAGATCAGCAAATCAAACAGTTCGAACTCAAGAAATGCAATGACAAAAACAGAGTGGGATGACCCGGATCATCACCTCTTTTTCAGACAGAAAAGTGAAAAAAGCAAGCCCCCCTCACTCACTCAGCTCGAAGAGTAAAATAGTGACTCACAGGGCTCTTTCTGTATAAGTAGGCAGTGTGTGTTTTCCGAATAGGATGAAGACTGCATGATTTGGTCTGATTTATTCACAACAACCTGTTACTTTTACGAGACTCATTCTGTTAGGAAAACCACATAACAGAATAGGAACTTTAGCATTACATGTTTTAGAATGTGAAGTCATTTCTGATGTAGAAAATATATGAATAAACATTTATAACTTGGTGCGGCACGTGTGGCACTCTCACTTCTCAGCAAGAAGGTCCTGGGTTTGAATCCCGGTCGGAACAGGGCCTTTCTGAGTGGAGTTTGCATGTTCTCCCCGTTAGGTTTCTTCCGGGTGCTCCGGTTTCCCCTACCACTAAAAACATGCACGATAGGTATGAATGTGAAATGAGAGAGTGAATGGATGGTGTTGATTGGGGGCTGGAACAATATCTGAAATCTGAACATTGTTAAGCGCTTTGGGTGACCTTGGTCTGTAAAATGCGCTATATAAATAACATTACTTACTCACATTACTTAATGACTCAGACCTTGCGGGATGAGTGAAAAATTACAATCTGCTTTTATTGTAAATAAACCATGTCTAATAATTCCAATGTTTTGAAAATAGACTGTAAACCATAATTATAAGAAATCATACCACACAAAGGCTCGGCATATGTCACTTTGCACGTAATATGTATAGATCATAGTATTACGAGTTAAATTACAAAAATAAACAAGAATGAACAATATCTTAATCGTCTGAGTTTAACCTGTATATTTAATGTATATATAAATAATCTGAATACATACTCATGTTTGGGGGAGAGGGGTTGGCACTGTGCTAGGTTTTGCTTTTTTTATCTCCCATCATCAACTGGAGACTGCCCCCTACTGGAGATAAGGAGTACACTTACATTATTAATGCATGTGTGGTGTTGGTTTTATTGACTATTGTTGAGCTCTGGGCGGGTGTCTCTCTTTGGGCAAGTGAAGAAAGGCCTCCTGCACACTGTCTACCTTTAAAAAAAATATTTAAAGTCAATACAACAGATGGAAGGCCAGGTGTTGCATAAATGTTAAATATGAAACAGCTCCTTCACCTGTCTTTCTTCTCAGGCATGGGGGGTGGGGAGTGAAGAAGGATTAAGGGATGTGGGGCTCAAGGTCTTACGTCAGCTGCCACATGTATCTCGTCATCTTCACTTTCCTCATCCGGCACATCAAACTAGAGCTTATCTCTGGCCCTGGTCAGACTCCCAGTCCACTAAAGAGCAATCTCTGGTCCAGTCCTCTCTTCTATCACGGTCCAGTTCATTCCAAACTCAAAATGAGTTCGAAAAGGACTTCTCAGACAATGACAATGGCCTAATCTTGGAAGAGAAATTTACAGGCGCTAATGGTTTTTGCTCTTTTCTTGAGCTCCTTGAGTTCAGGGCTGTATGTTTTAGTGGGTAATCATTTATCTTCAGTCTCCGTCCACTACAGTAACACACATTTCATTATTTGAGTGGTTTAAAGGGGATATTTTTGTTGGAATTCTTTCAAAATACTTCAAGGCATAATTTAATTCCCAAGACAGCAGTAGAATTTACAATGTTTTGGTTCCGGGTACTTTTTTTGTACCAAAACAAACATTTATAGACAGGTGCCTCTAACTGGAACCTTTAGAATACACCAGTTTATTCAACACTGACAAAAAAAAAAAAAACTTTAAAAACCATGTTTAGATGAATCCACTTCTGTTGAACACCAAAGTAAAGCTGCACAAACACTTGATGATGCATGAACGGTATATTAGATAAAACAGAGACAAATTAATGCACATTTTAAATAGAACTTTTGGTGTCAACCGTTTGTTGGTCTTGCTCATTATTGGTCATTTTTCAGTATGAATTGTGATTAGGTCTTACTGTAAGAATTGTGTGAAAAAAGATAGCAACGACACGATTGTGTTTATATATATTTAACAGTTTTTCAGTGAAATCTTTTATTTGTAAGTTGTGCTAAAGTTTCGAACTC